AAATTTAATATTATTTAAAATATTAATTAGTTAATTAGGAGAGAGATACATTTTAAAAAAATCTTAAAAGAATTTTGTAAGGAATTCAATTTTTTATTTTAAAGATTTTTATTTTTTTAATATAAAATCTTATACAAAATATTGTCTAAGAGAATAACCCTAAAAAAAATATATTTTGGTATAAGGTCTCAAATTAATACTTTTATTCTTCGATATCACGTAGGATATCTCTTCAATTTTTCTCTAGTGATAAATTTATTTTGAAATTTAAAGTAACATTTTTTTATCCCACGGTCATCTAATAATATAATAATGCAATATATTGCAATTAATTATATATTTGATAAAATATAACGTTTTCATTTTTTTAAATCACATCATAATTTGTGTTATTTGGTTATTAAGAATATATAACTGTTATGTGTAATAATTTAATTGATGAAATTCATTTAAATAGAAAATATTACTTTAAATTATTGTCTTTGTTTACTTGCACAGTGTCCTTCACCACTACTTCATGAATGTGGAAGTGGAAGTGGCGGTGGCAGTGACTGCAGCAAAATGACAAAATCTCAAGTGGCTTTAGCTCTACCACATCCAGTGAAAATTAATATTGTATAATAAAAATATAAATGTCTTTTAAAATATTATATTAATAAAAGTGGTTTATTTTATTTTATTTATATATTATTTTAAACCATAGTTTAAAACAAATATTTAAACATATTCTGTGAAGTAATAATTTAGAATAAATATTTAAATATATATAATAAAATATGTACAGCTAAATAAATTAAATTTTATGAATTATTTTAACTATAATAAAAAGGAAACTTTAAATGTATATAATTGTAAAATATAATATATTTGCAATTGTTAATGTTTATGGAGAAAGTGTGCTGCTGGTATTAAGGATGTCTTGGGAGTATTTAATGGAAAATATTAAAAAAAGATGGTGTTTTGAATTAGTCAAGAGAGGGAGCTTAGTTTTTAGGTGAATAGAAAAAGGAGAATGTTAGAAGGGAATGTAATTTACTCTAGTTAACATTGATGGCCAGAGAAAGAAAGAGAGAAGGTTGAATGTACCTAACAACCTTGAGAATCTCTCCATCTCAGGTAGACTAACCCATCAACATAATGTGTGTATGCCCCTGCCACAACCAAGACATGAAAGAGTTGGTGACTGTGGCCAGCAATATCAAACTTCCCAGGCATCCACCTCTCTGGTATCCTTGCCACATAGATTACTGCTCCCAAACCATAAAGAACTCCCATCAATATCTCATACCCTGTAGTTTGCAAGGCCTCAGGTTGATGCTTGTGCAGTATCAGTTTATGTATAATGGGTGCCACGCCTGAAAATCCCATTAAAAAGAAGAGGGAAGCACGGTACTTCCTGAACTCGGACTTCTGGAAAAATGGGAGAAGAGAGAAGACCATAGAGGCAATCCCCATCACTGTTATGATGCCTAAGTAGAGGTAGCAGAAAAATGGGTTGCACATAAATGTGTAATACACAGGAGGGTAAAATGAAGTTGCAATCAATGCAGAAATCCCAGCATAGTCAATTCTGAGCATGATGTAGGAAAGGCGCTGTGAGTGGCAAGCAAGGAGGTGGCAAGTGCTGCTGGCTAGCAAGCAAAACATGGCCCCACCTAAGAATGCATAGAAAGGCCACCTTGTAATCGGTTGTACCATTTTGGGGGATCCCATGATCATGTCACCTTTCAGACCATTCTGTAACAATGTATAATACTCCCAATATAAATGAATCTCTGTAGTATCTTATAACACTTACTTAAATACAAGGTATTCTCACATGCTTCTTTTGTTTAAAGAAAATTATTCGTTGTGGTTACTTTGTGAGTGGAGTATAGAGTATTGATCTTGTAAAGGTTTACCCTGTTGTTGTTGGTAATTGAGATTGTTTTACTATCATATTCAAATATTTAATGCTTATACAGGTTTCTATTTTACTTTCAAGTATGAACTCATAATATTTATTCTTAATTTTGTCATAACTAGTAGTTTGCTCTACTCAGTCTGAAGTTTCTTAATTTTTCTATTAAAATTCTTCCTGTAAAATTACAAAGTATGCAATATCTAACTGCAAAATTAGAATTTCAAGAGATTTAATCGTTCATCCAATTACTATCAGTTATACATGGGACGTGTGTTAACTTTTACCGTAGTTACTTTAAAATGCATAGATATAATATTTATTTTATTATCAATTTCATAGATTATTCAAAAGAATTTAATATTTTAGATGCATCAGCTTAAGAACAGGTTAACAGAATCTTAAAGGACACTCCATGGAGAGGAAGAGAAACTTACAAAGGAAAACTGGTCTGGCAAGCAACTTCTGAGAAGTTCCACTATAGTCCAACCTGATAATGAGTAGTCTAAAGAATAAAGAGATGTACTCAAGTCATTTAATTTGAGAATCTCATGCATGTTGGGCAGTGAAGGCAGGCATTTCAAGATTTCTAAACGAATCTTGTTCAAATCAGCTTTTCCTATCATTTTAGACAAATGTTGAACGGAATTGAAATCTGCAACCATTGGAGCTTTTGCAGCTGTGTATATGGTGAGAAAGAGAAAAAGGAAGAACCCAATCAAATGCCTGAAACAATGTCACCAGCGTTAACTGATGGATTATAATTTAGACAATTTAACTACGCACCTTTAATATTGTTTCTTAAAAGAGACATGCATATTTGAAGTACAGTAATAAGTCATCTTATATCAAGAGATAATCTTCAAGCTGTACCTCAGATTGTGGTGCTGTTTCGCAATTAAGAATGGAGTTGCATCAAACTAACCTACGTTATCCCTTAATGCTGATTAATGCATAAATTACCAAAATGAAATTGCAGTAGTGATGAGAAAACAAACACCACAAGCACATAAAGCACACCACTTAAGTTTTGTTCAATTTTAGAACTAGAATCAAATTATTGTTGCAGGTTAACACAAAAAAAATCGTATAAGTTCAGAAAAGTAGACCTTTTTCATTATTTGTTACTGAACAGTGTTCACACTATAAGAAAACTGTTAAACTAAAGTACAAAGTCGTCTTTTATTTCCCCATCTTTGGGTAATTTCTGTGTGATAAAAAAAATCATAAAATACATTATCTTGTATATATGTCAATAGGACATGTTGGAATGAAGCTCAACTATGGACAACAAATATAAAATAGCAGAAGTACACTACGTTAATTCACACTCTTACAAAACAAGAAATTTTCAGAACTAAAAAATGCACCTCAAATGGAAAAAAATACAACATGAAAAAAGGCACCAAGTTTAGCAGATAATGAAAGATATTTGTACTTGAAAGACAAAGTACTCACGTCCAGACATTAAGTGTCTCATTATGAATTGAGAAAATACTAAGGAAGATCTGCTTCAATGGCCACTCTGATCGATAATGACCCAAAATGAATTCATTGTCCCTCATGTATGCTGGCAGTGAATTGTATTCTACAAGCTCGTATTTTAATTTTCTCCAAAGTCGTACTCCCTTTCGTAACCTTGAACTTATTCTTTCATCTTCGCCATCAAGTAAATCATTAAATTTTTCAGGTTTATCAATAAACCCTTCATATGAACCACGTATCATCTCTGCAATGTGGATATAAAGGAACATTTACAAATCAAATAACTAGATTGGGTATAGGAACCACAGGGCAATGATCAAACACCCATCAAGAAACTCTTCACCTTTTAAAGTGAGCCAAAACAACAGATTAGTCTCTAAGTAAAAAGGGGCAAAACGAAAAGAAAACCCAAAAGACCCAACCTGCAGCAGCAGACAACAATGGGTGAAACAATGAGAACAAGGTAGGTATATGGTGTTGATTAACTTCATGCTATATCAATGAATTAACTTCGCTCCTATGATCTTTGAGGAAACTAATCTTCCACGCACATTTAAGCTGAAACACTAAGTCTCAATTACCAAAAACAAAATTAGTACCGTGAATTTTACACTCAAAAAAGAAAACGTTTAACGTGAAATTTGCTACAAAGCTAAAGATAAAACAAGCAGACTACCTAGTCCAGTCAAGTTTTTTGGAGAGTTTGAGTCTAAAAGCAGATTGGAACATTGTAACCGAGTTGCCCAACAAGAAATGGAAGCCTCTACTTCTATTCTATCCTAAAAAAAAATCAAAGTCACAATCATCCCCGACTCCACCCATATTTCCATCTTACAATTCAAGTTCAAACACCTATGTAATGGGATATTTTCGCCCGTTTCAGCAATTTAGAAAAAAAAAATGGCCTTTGATGTTCTAAAGTAAGAAGAAAACACGAATCTTCTTGCCCAATATACATATATGTTCGGACTTTAGAGGTTGCTGATATTGATCAAAGCTCTGACATGTAATTAAAATATCAAATTTACAACGAGAGAAGTGGCGCAGTGCATCTAATGTAAATGCAGAACAAACAAATTGTATGAAAATTGGACTTGCCTGAAATTTTTAGAGGGACAAAAGTACCCGAATGAAAAACTTATATCCCGGGAAAAGGAAAGAGATAATACTGTAGGAAAAATGATACGGTGGTACCGGAGGATGGCACCCCAGTCTCGGCGAAGGACATTAGACCATCCCAGCGTATTAAGAATGACATTGTATAAAACTCAATGTGACACCCAATACCTATTTCTTAGTTTCGCCATGTTGCAACCTCAAATTGAGACAACACGAAACTTTTATTTGCCATACATGACTTATGTGATCCCATATATTCTCTGGCAGAAAAGGTCAATAATTTTTCTCTCTCTTGGATTCATCTATTCTGATTTATGCCCCATTTTAAATTTTCTATAATCTAAAATCAGCACTTCCCTCTGATCCATACAACCAATTCAAGGATATAATATAATATAAAAAATAAATTGTTCCCATTATCCAACAACATTATTCCAATTCAAACAATGCTATGGGAAACTAGAGATAAATTGTTTTAAAAAAGTGATGAGTTGACTTAAATAGCGGGGAAGAGGTCATTGAGTCTGCATGGTAATCTATAGAAATCATCGTTCCGGCCATCAGCATTATATACACTGAACTTCTCCCACCACTGCAGACCACTGTCCTTACGGGCTGCATCATTTTCACATGTGAGTGTGATGTCCAAAATTAATGCAATCAACGCAGCCACCGTTGTGTGCGACTTGAAGATCACGCTAACCATATCATTGAACTGCAAGTTCATTGAAATAACAGAATCATGTATAACAAAATTAAACTTGATCAGAATCAAGGTACCTGGGAACTGCATCATTGTGAATTAAATTTCAATGATTGGTTTTGGTTAAGGCCTCTCACCCAGCCGTGTTGATGCTTTACATGAAAATTTTCTATGAAATATTGTGGTATGGAGATGCCGAGGAAGAATGAAAGGCCCAACACGAATTTGGTTCTGAAACTGTTGAGGTTACAGAACTGTAGAAAACCAAGACCTGCTGAAGCTGCATATCCCAAATTGCAAACAATTGTCAAGTTTATGGTTGGCAAAGCTCTACAAAGACAGTTGGTTAGAGAGAACTTACACACATAGCCAAAGAGTACACAATTTAATGCTGCTATGATTGGCAAAGGTATAGAAGCAAAAATTGCTCCCACTTTTCCTGGTTGACGCAAAAAAGCTATGAGATATCACTAATTAAAGAGAATAATAACATTACGTAGACAACATCATGAATGACAAAACTTGGATACAATTCCAGTGTCGGTCGTGTTTTTCTCAAATTAGAATTTAAGTGTCATCTTGGTATTGTGCAGATTATTAAGGTAAAAAACCATACTTGAGTAATTGTATGCAATTTTTGCCCCATTAAGAAATGCGAAATTTATTAAGGGAAGATCATTAAGTTGCATAGATTACCAAAGATGTTAGTCTATCATACCAAATATAGAGAAGAAAATCATAAAGCCAGCTGATATTTGGATAACTCTTCGGCTTCCCACTCTAGTCAGTGCCAATAATCCAGCATTCTCCCTGAAACAATAGCAGTGCAAATACGCAAAAGATGAATACGGATAAAGACGATCAACCCCAACATAGCTTTTGGGGCAGAACTAGGCACTAACAAGAACTAGGAAGGAAGGCATTGTATCCTTTACCACCATCATATTTTGTACTTTACAGAACTGTTTAGGGAATATTTAAAATGAATGCTGTTCCACTCTTTCTTACACAGATTTTACAAAGAAAAAAGTTTCTTCAAACCAAACAAAAATTCATGAGTGATATGTCAAGGCTCATCTACATATACATTTAAGAGGTTTTAAATGCCGAGATAAACTTACACTGATGCCGTACAACCAGTTACGGAACCCAAAATGCCACTGAGAAAGGAAGCTACTCCCTAAAACAACATTGAGAATGACAAACAAAATCAATTTAAGTTTCCTGATTATCATTCCAGAAAGAATTACAAAATATAGTGCATGTGCATCTTACCACCCAGCCAGCTCCGCGGCCAATAACATGTGGCGGCACTGGTGTTGCACTTCCATATCTTGCGGCAGCATAAAATGTACCAGTAGACTGCATGTAAACAAGGAAAATGTTGAAATTTGAAACAGACATAAGATGCGGTATGGATGCATTTTAAGTGTTTTCTCAGTTTTAGGTAGTTTTTGTTATGAAAGGTAGTGAAGTTGCTTTATTGCACTCTATCATATGATTAAAACATGGGTATCTCTGTTAAGGGTGTGCATACCTCAAAAAGAGAAACAAAAGAAGCTGCTATCATAGCCAAAGCTTCTCCAAAGTTGAAGGTAGGAGCCCCCCATTGGAAGGGCACAAACGGGAGATATATCCTGTATAAATGCAGACAATTTTTTTAACTTATTTGTAAACATATATTAAACCCCCCAAAATGAGATAGCTTTTGACTCAGAATATAAGCTCCTCAATTTCCCTATAAACCATAAAACAACATCTCATTCAAAGACTGAGCTTTGGTGCATAAAACAAACCTCGATTCTGAAAAATCGCAATTTAATGATGATTAATTGGGAAAACTTAACGAGTCCACAAAATCTTACCCACGAGAAGAACTTACAAGACCAGCACGATCAGTGCGGCAACTATTCTGAGTATTTGCTGGCTTGTTGCTATATACAGTGCTTGCAGTCAGAATCTGTGCAATTAACCATGCACTTGCAATAGAAAACAACACCGCAAATCGGCCATAGATAATTTTGTTGGTGCAAAAAAATCTATGAAGATACTGCAAAAGCATAGAAGATAATGAACACATCATGGACCAAAATTTAAGAATAGAAGTAGTGAATTTTAAATTTAGCTGTATCATATTTTACACATCATAATTCCACCTTTCATAATATAAATTACTCTCACATAAATATTGTTTATAGCCTACTTTTTTCCAAGTGCGTTCTTTTTTTATTCCAAATGTGTTCATAGTTCATGTTATTATCACATAATTTACTTCACACGAGCAAGTTTAACTATTTGCCTGTGAGATGAAAACCAGACCAATCAGTGCTGGAAGCCCCACTTCAACACATTTTGCAAGCTGCAACAATGATCAGCCAAAATAGAGGGAAAGTCAGTCATATAATCCTACTATCAACTCCTAGACTTGTAAAACACTAAATTGCAAAAAACTTGAGAATTAAGATTCAAGCGCTCAACCTATTTGTCTAAAACATTTATATCAACATAGAAAATTTTTACCATTGGGAATCCAAGATGATAGACACCGAGTCCAGTGAAAGTTACGTAAGGGACAACAGAAAGTGGGCTAAGGAACCTAAAGCAGCACAAGAAGAAGCAATTAACTGGATAGACGCTGAAAGTGATTAAAGGATTTCATAAGCTCTAACAGGCCAAAAAAAGTGTAAGTCACATGCACTTACTAACCTGACAGCACCCCTCCAAAGGCCCAAGAATCCCACAACTATGTGAAAACATGCACTTATGATCAAGGCGCCTTGTATCCCTCTAATAGTATGAATGAACCTCTGTTTATCAGCAACGTAATAACAAGGATTGAACATCGTCAAGTAGAACCAAAGTGAATTAAGACTTCTTAATTTGGATAAGTTTTTCTAAGATCGCTTGAACAAAATAAGATTTTTGGAGAAGTTTTATTTCATTTTTTTTCTCAAATGTTATGGAAACCGTATTCACAAACACTTATAGAAGCATAAAAGATAGACTCCTTGACCTCATAAGGATCTGTATATGAACTGTATCTCTTGGCATGGACAATTGACATTGTGGGTATTAGGAAACTATATGAACCAACAACTACAGTTGGCAATCGTGTTCCGAACCAAGATTGCAGAAGTGTGCTTGCTCCAGAAACAAACAACAGATTTTGTATCACCTTGGCCTTCTCAGCCTACGATGAATGAAGGATTTTCAGTATATTCATACCATTGTAAAATTTGAAAGAGAAAAAAAAAAGTTAAAGAAAATAAATGGAAATAAGTGCTTACATCTCCTCCACCCATTTCAGTAACGATCATAGTTGGAATTAGAACTGTCACACCAAGAGTCAGAATATAATGCTGGAATGCCAAAAACACTGCTTCTTCTGCATGGATGGCAATGACAAATCTAGTTAAAAAGCTGAATTGAAAAGTATAATATTGTGCTTCAACCAAAATATTCTAAAGGAAAAATCAAAACATTCTTAAGGAAAACTCAAAACATTCTCTAAATAAACAAACTTTGCATTGAATATTTAGTCATTTCACATTTGTTACTCTTGTGTATGTTAATTTCCAATATATTTACCATAAAAAGAAAAAGTAAGCAATGAACAGAGTATACTGACGCCAAGGAGGAGGACTGTTAATGCAGTACTGAACATCAGGTAATTGCTCTTTCACTGGATGTGGTAGAGCTAAAGCCACTTGAGATTGTGTCTTTTTGCTGCAGTCACTGCTACCGCCACTTCCACTGCCACCATTACTACCACCACATTTATCTCCTTCAGTCATGTTCATGAAGTAGTGGTGAAGGACACTGTGCAAGTAAACCAAGACAATAATTTAAAGTAATATTTTCTATTTGAATGAATTTCATCAATTAAATTATTACACATAACAGTTATATATTCTTAATAACCAAATAACACAAATTATTATGTGATTTAAAAAAAAAATGAAAACGTTATATTTTATCAAATATATAATTAATTGCAATATATTGCATATTATATATATATATATATATATATATATATATATAATCATAAATAACAAATTTACTTAAAAAATTGTCAATATTAGATGATCGTGGAATAAAAAAATATTACTTTAAATTTTAAAATAAATTTATCACTAGAGAAAAATTGAATAGATATCCCACATGATGTTGAGGAATAAAAATATGAATTCGAGAGCTTATACCAAAATATATTTTTTTTAGGGTTATTCAGATAGATCTTAAGTTATATATTATATCATATGTGTATTGAAACATTAGCTTAAGTTATAAAAAAAAAATTACAAAAACAAGTTTATTTAATGTACCCAGACAATTAAAATATTTATGAATATTTTTCAATAATTATTTCCCTTAATATTTATGAATATTAATGGACTTAATGATTTAATATTTTATTTTAAACATATTTTAAAAATATTAATTAACTAATTAATTAGGAAAGAGAATAAAAGAATTATTTTGATTCAGATTATTTACAGGAAAGTTTGATAATGAAAAGTGGTTAACGTAGAGAAAATAAATAAAATAAAATATTTTTATTATTCAATAAGAAGAAAAATAATAAATAAATAAATTGTTTTTCATTTACATGTTTATTTTTTACTTATATAAAAAAATATTATTTTATAACATTATTCTTTCTTAGATAATATGAATAAAATTTTTTGTTTATTCTCTTTCCTAATTAATTAGTTAATTAATATTTTTAAAATATATTTAAAATAAAATATAAAATCATGAATTCCATCAATATTCATATATATATATATATATATATATATATATATATATATATATATATATATATATATATATATTTTGTCAGTTACTTATTGAAGTCTTCTTTTTGATAAAGTATAAAACCTTTTTCCAGATACAGCAGAAAAGTAAACTACAACGGTTAATTAATTTATGCAACCAAGAAACCACACATAAGAACATTAAAAAAAAGAAAACCACACATAAAAAGATTAAAAAAAAAAAACCACACATAAGAAGATTAAAAAAGAAAAAAACCACACATAAAAAGATTAAAAAAGAAAAAAACCACACATAAGAAGATTAAAAAAAATAAAAGATAAAACAAAAATACAAATACAGGTGGCAGAGCGAAGCATCTTTAGTATCTTTGCTGCATTGAACAAATTATTATTACATAAAGTAGTGAAAACCCTTGATAAACTATGTGCTTATTTATATTTTTTTATAATTAAATTTTTGAAAATTATATTTTATTTCTTTTCTTTATCTTTTAAATATATTAATTTTATTCACTTATTACGTATCGTATTTTTCTCTCTTTCGTATATTTATTAAATAATAATATTTTTTTTAATTATGATACATTTTTTATAATACTAAAAAAATATAAAAAATCATCATTATATAAATATGATTAAAAACATATTAATTTAGTATTTTTGTCCTCATATTTTTAAGTAATTAGTTTTCAAAATATTTTTTTATTTTATTTTATTATTTATTTTTCTCTATATTTAAATATATCTCACATTTTTTTTTACTTATTACATATTATATTTTATTTTAGTTATAGTATTTTTTTAATTTTATTTGTTTTTCCACTTTTTAGATTTATCTTATATTATTTTTTATGAATTATATATAATATTTTTTAATCTCCGATTACACAAAAAAGAAAAAATTAAAAAAATTCCATCATATATAATATATAATTATATTTTTTATGCAAGTTATTTAAGTAAACTATAAATTATTTAATATATTTTTATTAAAAAAATCTTAAATAGGTTGTTTAAAAATATTTGATAATTATTTTATTAATTAACTTAAAAATTTAATAAAAACAATTAAGGAGAGACAGAGTTGATTAAAATGATATAATAAATTTATATTTTAAAATTTTTAAACTAAAAAATAACTCTTACAAATTAATTTATAATTTTTGTTCTGAGATTTTTGAAGTTATTTTGTGAGATATTTAAGTAACATATTAATTGTTTTAAGTAATTTTGATTAAAAAAAATTATATAACGTTGAATTTTTCGAAAATAAGTTTTTGGTAATAATTATTCATATATATATATATATATATATATATATATAAATATTTTATTACAAATTTTATAAATTATTTACTTAAAAATTAGTAAAAGTTGTTTATATAAATTATGTTTTACATTTTTTAAATAATTATTGTGAGATTTATAATAAAATATTTATTTTTATTTTTAAATAATTTTTATAAATAAATTTAATATTTAAGTTGTTTAAATTTTGTTGATAATTATTTTATTAAACAACTTAAATAAATAAATAAATAAATAAATAAATAAAATAATTTTTTTATCATTTAAAAATAATATGATATAATAAATTTATATTTTATATTTTTAAAGATGAAAAAAAAAGAGTAAAGCCAAGAATTATTATAAACATCTATATATTCATTAAGTGGCATTAACTTTTCCTCTTTACCACTCGGTTTACAGGACCACAGTTTCTGTTTGAAATTTTTTTCCAAATGATGCATGCACATTAACAGCAACCAAGGAAGTAATTAAATGAAAGCGCGTTTTCCTTCAAAGTAAATTTTGGTTGATTAGCATCAACATTCACCCATCACCAACAAATATATATATATATATATATATATATATATATATATGTATATATAAATAGGAGCATAGAAGATTGCAACGAATCCATAGTTAACTTTTCCTCTGAAAGTGATCAAGAGTTTCCAAAGGGTGATGGCTTACTACAATCAAAATCCTCCTATGTCCGGGCCTCCTCCTCCTCCTATGGGTTAGTTTTTAAACAAAGATGCATCAAAGCCTTGTTAATTCATGTTCATCTACTCATGCATCAACTTTCTGTGAATTGTTTGAATGTTTTGGTATGACTCGTGAATGATTTTTTATCTAATTAAGTGAGATCCATGTAGGGTATCCTCCACCGGGTTATCAAGGACCTCCTCCTCCCCAACCTCAAGCTTTTGTCACTCAAGCGCCACCGGCCCAAGGGCAACAAGGCTCAGGAGCCGCTACAGGTGTAATGGCTGGATGGTACGTGCCTTGTTATATTGAAATTGATGAAACAGCTAATTTCACTCTTGAAGCTTTTAACTGAGATATATGTTTTGATTTTGATTTAGATAATAAAATTATTTGAAGGTTTTAATTGGAGAGTTTATTTGTGTTGTAGCCTTGGCGCGTTGGGCTGCCTCTGCTGTCTGGAGATTTGCTGCTGTGGGGAATGCCTCGAAATGTGTTGCTGCTGATCTTCGTCAGACCAAGAATCCACCTCTTCTCAACTTCTTAATGTTTTTTATTTACTTTTAGCTTATTTGTGGAACTTTTAAATTTGGTGTTATTCTCTCTTTTTAAGTAGGAGGTACAAGTTACATTACTTTCAATAAATATTACATCAATTTTAGACAACTTTTATCTCTAAAACCTTCCTACCCAAATAAATTAAGTAATATATATATGTTAAATTAGTCAAACTTGCTGTTTTATTAACGTTACCAACATTCACGCAATTAATTCATTTTTAATTAATGGTTCATAATTCAAATTCATCATTTATTTTTAAATAAATGATTTAAAATTTAAATTAGGGTGATATTATCATAATTCAAACTTGAATCTCATTTCAAAATGCTGTAATAAATTATCTATTTTTTTTATTAGAAACTCCTTCTTTTTGCTTTATGTTTGTACATTCATTCTTTTCCATTACAATAAAGGACCCTCTACCGTTTTCAGTAAGGTTACTCATTATATAAACCAGGATAATGATGTCTCTAAAAAGCACAATATAAATTAAATGGTGAAAAGATGTAAAATCAATACCAACTTTATTAAACTACTCTTAAAAAAACTTTATTAAACTAATAATATATAATAAATATTTATTGACATTTATTGTATATACTATAATCCAATAATAACTCAAAACAAATTTTTCACAAATTTTTCACAAATTTTTTTAAAAATAAAATTAAATATTTTATTATAGATTCTTTAATTAATTTGTTTAAAATTAAATCAAGAATAAGATTAAATATTTTATTATAGATCTTTCAATTAATTTATTTAAAATTAGGTTAATATTTCTTATCCAAGTAATTTTAAACAATTTTCTTCATTTTTAAGAAGATTCTTAATACAATATTTATTTTTATTCATAAGTAATTATTAATAATAATTTCTTAAAAAAAACTCTAAAATAAGTTAAGTTTTGGTAAGATATTATAATTTGTTTTTTTAATATTTCCAAAATCAGTTTTTTTTTTAGTTTTTAAAATAAAAAAATTATTGAGTTTCTATTTTGTTAAAATATTTTAATTTTTTTATTTTTAACTAAAAAATCAAAATCCATTAAAAATTATTAAGATATTCATATCTTTATCAATAATAATTGAATTACATGTATATCACGTATACTACCGTCGTCATGGAATTATTTAATCTTTTCTCAATTTTTAATTTTTATTATGGGATATTCTTTTATCTAAAATAAATTTTATATTTTTTTTAAATGATCTTTAAAACTATTTTTTTAAATGAAATAAATTCTCAAATTTCTTGAAGACTTTTTTTTTAGTATAACAAGAAAATAAAGTTTACTTTAAAATACAATATAATAAAAACCATACATTTTGTATATATATCCGAAGTAATTAATAAATAGGTTCCGTCTCATATAAATATATTTTATTATTGTAGAGTCTAAATAAAAATAAATTTTGGTATAAAAAAAGGGGAAAATACAAAATTTCTAGAAGTTTTTTTTTTCAAAACAATTTCTTATATATAATTTTATAGAAAAATAAAATTTTTGGAGATCTCATATTCACCAGATAACCCCTTCCCTGTAAATATACTATTCATCATCATTAATTAAAAATTTAAATGAAATAATTATAATTATTTTAGTAAATCAAGATAAATTCTACATTATGTATCCTATCTATTTTTTTATTATTTAAATTATATATATATATATATATATATATATATATATATATATATATATATAATTCGAAAAACTCTTGAGTAATTGAGAAGAAAATTAAACAATTACTGTTTTAATGAAAACGACTTTTGCATGTCTAATTAGTAAATTGGTACAAAGCTTTACCTATTATGAGAATAGGCATCTACTTATCATGTACTAAAAATTTAAATAAACAACAACATCATTTAATCATGTTGCTTATATTTAGGGAAATATTAGAAAATTAGAAAAATATTCTCACTGTAAATATTATATATTACTGTACATAAATAATGAAATAAAAATAATTATATTATCATTAAATTCTATCATAATTAAATTATGATAATTAATTATATTGATATCCAACCATTACTTTACATGACTATAAATTGTAATAGACAAACAAAAGTTAATTAAGTCTAATATCCTAATAAAATTAAATATTAATTGTTAAATTATTATTTACATAATCCCATAATTCAATAATTGATTCTATATTCAAAATTTTCTTTAGTTCTTCTTTAAATATTCGAGTGTTTTTCTAAATATATGCGGATTTTTATGGGAGGGGTTTTATAAAAACTTTTTACTAGACCTAAAGGCGAGGTTTTTGAATAGGTTCGAGGAGTCGTCATCAGTGTTTTAACCTTAAACACTGAAAAAGGTAAAAAAAAAGGCAGTGGTTTTAGAAAAAACCAACTTTGGCCATTACAACCAGAGTCGGGTAAGGGAGTTAGTTACGTGTGGGGAAGGTGTTAGCACCCCCACAACGCCCCTTTCGGGTTCCCTATGATGGACTAACTTAGAAAATAAATACTTAAAGAAATTACATTTTTACCCTATTATTTGATCTACTTGCAGAATTTAAATATATACATGAGTCTATTATCTAATGCACACAAAGAAAGTGATAAAGAAAGCAGTAAAAGAGACAGAGAATAGAGAAGGAACCTCCGAAGCGAGCTCTATATTAACTCTTCTAAAACGTGAGGACGCTTTTTGGCAGTCCCCGCACTCTACAAGCACGCTCCTCCCGCAAAATAAAGACAAATCACTCTATCGAGGGCCGGGTGCCTCAAAAAGAGACTTTCTTAACCGATTTCAACCTTAATGGAAATCGGAAAGCTCCCTCGAACCTCGGAATAATGCTCAGGTCTCAAGTGCCAAAAAGCTTCCAAGAGAGTGGAGGAGTGGAAAAAGTGTGAAAAACGGAGAAATGAAGCCCCTATTTATAGGGATTCGGGCCTGGAAAAGGTGGACGGCCGTCTGGACAAAGCGGACGGTCGTCCATGGCAAAAAGTGGCCATGGACGGTCGTCCATGCAGTGTGGACAGCCGTCCATGACAACTTTTGGTCATGGACGACCATCTGCTTGTCCTGGACGGTCGCCTGCCTGTTCTGGACGACCATCCGCCTGTTCTGGACGGCCATCTGCTGTCTCTAGCGGATTTCCCGATTTTTAATGCCTCTAAAAACCCTTCCTATCCTAAATGGAACCTAGAACAAGCTACTAGGGACTTGATAAAGTCTTAACCATCTTTGGAATGGACAATCTTCGGCTTTATTAGGGGTCCGGGCAAGATTTGGGGTCTACAGCTGCCCCCCCCTTTACCCGACCAATTGACCATGGGTTAACATATCATGAGGTCTATTGGCGGGTGAAGGAGTTAACCCTCTTGCCCGGCTGTCTTCTGGATGCTCCTCTTGCTGCGGAGGCTGACCCTTCGGACGATATGCTGTGAGGCTTCAGGATGCTCCTTCGGTGCGGTAGCTGACCCTTCGGCTGACACGTAGAGAATTTTGGGATGCTCCTTCAATGCGGTAGCTGACCCCTCGGTTGATGAGTATGAACCCCCATCAGGTTAGATGCCTCAGGATGCTCCTTCGACGCAGTAGCTGACCCTTTGGCTGTGGTGGTGGCTTACTGCTTCTGGTCATGCGCCGGCTTTGCCTGTGTGCAGGTCTTCGTCTTCAGGTCTTTCCGTTTCCTGAAGAGGTGGTGGCGGCGGCTTATTGTTTCTGATTATGCGCCGGTTTTGCCTGTGTTCAGGTCTTTGTCTTCAGGTCTTTCATTTCCTGAAGTGGTGGTGGTGGCTTACTGTTTCTGATCATGCGCCGGTTTTGCCTGGTGTGCAGGTCTTTGTCTTCAGGTCTTTCCCTTTCCTGAAGAGGTGGTGACGGCTTACTGTTTCTGATCATGCGCCGATTCCTTGGGGAATAATTGTTCTTGACTTTTGTGTAATCGTCCGGTATGTCGGGGATTCTTCGATTTTGGATTTTTATTTAGTCGTCTAGCTTCTTGATTACTGGGGATTCTTGATGCATGCATCTTAGGTAGGCAGGGATCCATTGAGGATTTGTTGATTCTGGTGACGCCTCTGGGTAGGCAGATATTTTATTGAGGTTCTGGTATTGCCTCTAAGTAGGCAGATGCTTCATCAGAAGTGAAGACTTTTGGATGTAATGTTTTGCCTCTGAATAGGCTAATATTCCCTTTTGGGGATGTTAGCTCTTGATGATGCCTCTGAGGATATGACTGTGAAGATTGCATCTGGGTGTAAATTCTTCTTTTTGGCGATCCACCAGGAATTTGGTTGACTCCTTGGGGATCAAATTTTGATAGCCTGGGGGAACGGGGTCTCGGCTCCTTAATTGATATGGGTATGAGTTGGCTTCGTCAAACTCTTATTCTGCTGGGGAAATGGATTTTTTGATTTTTGTCTTTTTCTTTAATTGTCCGACTTGTTGGTTGCGGGGGATTTTGATGATTGCCTTTTGGTGTAGGCAGGAATCCGTTAGGAATTTATTGGCCTTCCATTGTCATAGCCTTTTCTTCTTGGGCATCCGTTGGGGATGGAGAGTTTTCTTTTCTCTTCTTCTTTTTGTTGAACCCTTGATGGTATGGAGATTGAGCTCTTTTGATTGTTGATGATGACGGGTTCTTGAAGTCTTTATTCTCCCTTTAGGGAGTATGGAGGAGACCTTGGGTGAGTATGCTTGATGACTCAAGTGGGGGTGATGCTGAGCCGTGGGGAGTTATTTTTGTTTGCCTCTGGGGGTAGACAATGATTTGCTTGAAGATGACCAAGTCTTTCCATCGGATTTCCGTTGTTGATTATGCCCTTCCTTTATTGGGTGATGATTGGAGCTTTGACTTCTAGAAGCTTCTTATGACAACTCGCTCTTCTTTCTTGAGGGAGAGCAATGTTTGGAGATTTATTACTTTCTTGTGCCTTCTTTTCTAGTTAGCCGGAGCTCTTGATTTTCAGAAGCTCTTACTCTGCTGAGTTGCTTGTTTGACGACTTGCTCTGTTTTCTTGAGGGAGAGCATTATTTGGAGGCTTGTTTTGAGTTCTTCCTGTTTTCAAACACAAACATGGAGCTAGTCTCCTTACATGCATGAATGTTTTTTAGTTTTTTGTTACTTATTTGCAAAAAAATTATTTTCGATTTTGACAAAGTCGTTTTGTGCGACTATTTGTGGGTGAATGTCCTAAATGCAATTTATCCTTTTATGAGATGCATATTAGAAAAGTGACTGGTATTCTCCAACTGTGCTTTCATGATTATGTTGAAGGACCCCTCTCTTTTATTCATTTTTTGGTTTAGCCCTATCTTTTGCCTAGGATATCCTAGCGGGCTTTTTCCTTTTTTGCATGCAATGTTTGTGATATGCATCTTATAATGCTAATTCAGTTAATATTTCAAAAGGATTAACCATAGGTTTTGTATAAAATGACAGTCTTCTATTTCAAAAAATTGTCTTCTAGATCATTTATTTTATAGAACCCCTTCCCTTTATTTTTTTTCTTATTTATTATTAATTATTTTTCCTTATTACATTTTTATAGCCTTCAATTTTTATCAGATTAAGAGAATTGTCATTGATAGTGATTCGAACCCAAGATCTTAGAGTTAGAGGTTGATACTCCAACCACTAAGCTACCAGAATTTTCTAATAATAATTTACATATAAATTATATTTATATATTTATATATAATTAAATATTTATTTTTTAAAATTATTTAATTTAAGAAATTATTATAAATTAATCTAATTATGATTAAATTAAATTATTAAATAAAAAGTATTTAATTTTTTAATTAGGTGAATATTTACTAATTGTTAATTTACCGACTGAAATATCCGTCTGTAATTTACATGACGGATTTATCGACAGATATATCCGCTTGGTAACTAATTATTATTTTACCGACGGATATATCCGCTTGGTAATTTCCGTCTGTAATAATTATTTTCTCGACAGCTTACAAATCCGTTCAGAATATCTCATTTGAATACTGCGATTTTCTTGTAGTGTTACATCAAATTCTAATCCCAGTTGACTTTCTTATTAGCTATAATGTATCTGTTGATGATAATCTTCTTTGTGACAGGATCATATAATTTTGTTGGATGATATCCAACCAAAATTATAGTTTCTCGCTTTTGTCATCGAGTTTTCTTCTTCTTTCACCGAGAACATGTTTCCAACAAATCAAACCAAACACCTTTAAATGTTTTACACTATGCTTTTTCCCTTATCAAACTTCTTCTGGTGTCTTCTTCTTACCTATCTTAGTTGGACATCAATTCAAAATATAAGCTAGCAATCGCTTCACCCAAAAAGAATGTGGTAGAATTGTTTTTCAATAGACTTTTGACCATGTTAAGAATCGTTTGATTTTTTCTTTGTGTTGTGGTGTTTATGAGCGTACAATTTCATGTAAAATATTTTTCTTCTTGCAGAATAATGCAAATTCACCATTATTATACTTACCACCACTATTGGATCTCAAAATTTTAGTAATTTTGCCATTTGTTTCTCGATGAACTTTTTTAAACTCGAGAAAACAATTAAAAACTTTCGATTTTCTTTCTAATAGATATAATCATATCTTTTTACTGAAATCATTGATAAACGCAACAAAACACCTGTTTCTACCAACTAAGGATACTTAAAAAGTCCGCACATATCGTTATAGATCACTTTTAACACTTCTTTACTCCTAGTTTCGATATGCACCTTGAATGAATTTCTTGCTTGTTTTTCAATCATGCAACTTTTATAAGTAACTTGACTCTTCTAAATTTAAGACAATCCAATCATCATCTCCTTCTCTACTAGTTAACCCAGGATATCAAAATTTAGATGACCATATCTTAAATGTCATAATCAGTTGACATTGGAAACTACAATTGCAAAACACATATGATTCAATACTGAGATATTAACTCTAAATGTCATGTTTTTGCTCAAAGGAGGCTTTAAAATTGGTGTCCCATTTTTATCGAGAGTTATCAATATTTTCTTCTTCGATCTCTAATCATTTAAAACCCTTTTTGTAGAAGTTAATCAATACTAAATAAGTTATGCTTCATAGTTGGAACATAAACCACATATAAAATTATTGTAGATTTCTCATATCTTCTTCTAATTAAAATTTTTCCTTTCCCTTCACAATTTTTTGTAAAATTATCTACAAATTTCACCTTAGTTTTAACCTCTTTATCCAATTTGACAAACCAACTTTTTTGAAATGACATATGATTGAAACAACCTATATTCAAATACCAAGATCTTTCATGTGTTTTCTTTGATTTTGTCGTGGTCACCATTAACAAAACTTCATTCTCGGAATCTTTTGCACAACATTTGTTTCTTCTTTCGAACCTTTGCTCCAATAATCAATTGCATAATGATCATATTTGTTGCAATTATAACATTATATATTGTTTTTATCACTACTAGAATCATATCGATCACCTGAATTTTTGTCTCTACCACCTCTCGATGGTGAGAAACTACCTCTTGACTGTGAGAAACTCTCATTTGAACATCAACCTCCATTATTTCTACCTCTAAAACCTTCCCCATGACCTCTCTTGTTGAATTTGCCTCGAACACCATCATTTTTTTTTTCTGATTTTGCTTAGCCAATAAGACTTGTTCTTAACTGGGTTTACTACTTGCTCTTTCACGCAAACATTATTCATGACCCTCCAACCCCTGTAATTCTTCCAAAGTTAATAATTCAAATTCTTGAATTTTTTGATCGTAACAGAAATCTTATTGAATCTTGCATCAAGAGTTCTTAGCACTTTCTTGATCACGAGTCGTTCTTTTAAAACATCACCACACGATTTCATCAAGGTTGTGAGAGAGAACAATCTTGTAAAATATTCTTGAATGATTTATTGAATTCTCATCTGCAGTAACTCATACTGACGATGTAAGGTCTACTAAAGTTGCACAGTTTTCAACTTTATATTCCTGCATAACTCTATGCCAATATATCTCAAGCTTATTTGCCAATGAAATTTTCTTAAAATTACTTTCATCAACACAAATGAATGTAAAACAATTAATACTTTATAATCACGTTTCTTTACATCACAAAACATAACATGTTGTGAGATTTTCTGATAGTTCATCGTATCAAGGTAGATTGTCTTCCTCTTCACACACCAATGATCATAACTATTCAAATTCTTGTTATTTAACATGCGGTCTTGTACCTCATTTCTTGTCATTATTATTAATTTCTTAAATCTTGAAGTTTTTTAATATCACTTTTAGTAAGAAAGGTTTTGGATAAAATATCCAGTGAGGAAAATAATATAATTTTATTACTTTACATACTATTATTAAGAACTGGAGTACTCTATTTATATAAGAAAATGGTTAAAGAAAAAAGTTAGTTGGACTAACATCCAACAAAATAAAACATTAATAACTGAATTATTAATCGACAATAATAACCTAAACATGATAACATGGCATGAAATTTTGAAAAACTGATCTTGGTTTTACCAAGAACATTCTTTGCTTATTCCAACAGAGTTGAAATATAGAGTTAATTGGTTGCATTCATTGTATATATTTTAGGTGACAAAATTGGTAAGTGGGAAAAGAAATTTGGAGATTACGATGTTGTATAAGTATCGATATGAATACAGAGAAAGTTTTAAGAAAGTCAGTAGCACTGGCTTCTGAACAACATATTCGGAATTGAATGCCATTAATGTCTCATTTTTGTAACCACAACTTACAACAAAAACAAAATGTTGGATTTCCACACACGCTTCACACAAGAAAAGGGGATATCATATTTTTCAAAAGGATTCTGGACTCAGTACTAATGGCAAAGCATGGGAGATATAGCTTAAACACATGAAACAGAAATATGGAACTTGAGGAAGGAATATTCATTCTCAGACTTCGTCAAAAGTCAATCATTTCATTTCATGTCTCAGCTGCAACTACTTCACCGTTGGTTTTCTCTTGAATTGCACTCTTCTCATGGTCACCTTCAAGCTGGCTTAAATTTCCCTTCTCCTTGATCAATTGGATGTGGTGGTGCTTGCAGTAGAGTTTGCCATCGTGTGCAATGTAATTGGAGGGACTAATAACACACCCGCCATGAGTGCATTTGAAACAACTCTTGTGATAAGGAGTTCCATTCACAGTGACCTACACCATTTCAAAATATATAAAACTTAATATCCCTTTCTGAAGTAGAATGAAAATTTTAGCACTTTGCATCATGGTTTTAGATTAGAGAAGAAGGTGCGATGGATTCTTTGCACTTATGGCTGGTGACATTAAAATGACTCATTGATGAAATTGAAGGTTGTGTTGTTACCTTTTCAGTGGGATACACTGTCTTCTGACAACCGGCACATTTATCTCTGGTTCCACCAAACATATTTATGACTTTGGTTGATGCAGGTTTCTGATTAGAAACAGCTCAAAATTAAGATAAATGCTAGAAAACTAACATGTTGATGAGTGCCAATAACTCATTTTGTAAAAATTTTTTATTATTGCTTTAAGTTTGTTAAATTAGATCATTCAATAAGAATTGAATCTACAAAATTTTATAATTTTCAATAAACTTTGATCAATAATAAAATTTATGTTTAAAAGAGTGTATGAGAGAGTGTGTTAACCTTTCTTTACTGTACATTAGAAAGCATCAAGATTTAAGATCGGTTACCTCATCGCCAGTTTTTTCCGGTTTAGCAATTTTTGGTGTCCCTGATGCCAAGAGGAAATAAAGATAAGTGACCCACAGGAAAAATATAGTGAGGCTTTAAATATTTGGATTTGGAGTTCTCTCTTACCTTCGAAGCTTTTGTCAAGACTACCAGTTCTCTTGAACAGTTGGTCGAAGTGTGGCTTACAGTAAAGAACTCCCTCAAAAGAGTTATAGTTGCTAAGCTACAAATACAATACTAAATCAGTATTGTTCATAAAAATTAAATCTAGTTACAAACCTGTGAATCAGTGAACTTCATAAAAATCAATACACATTACCAGGTTTTGAAAATTAGCAGAACATTTGTGGATTCGTATAAAAACTAAAGATTTACAAATCAGTATCAGTTTTAGTGTAAAAACAAGTAAAAGGGAGAAGGCAGAATTAGATCCATCCACCTCAACAAATAAAATAAAATAAATGAGAGTAATAGATAGATTTACAAATACAGCTTTGGATGGATTAATTCTTGTTGAGGTTTCATACTTTTTTATTTTTTTTCCACTTCTTAATTTCACAACCTGGCTTATAATTTGGAAACATGAAATCCTACTGAGCTTTTGGAAACAAAATTAGCTAGGAGAAATGGCCGAAAATATGGAAATTATAATTAAATCAGGAACTGGCAAGAGTTCTCTTGAGATGAAAATGTTTAATTTTGAAAACACCGAATAATTAATCAAACCAAGTGCTGAAATTGATGCCTCTCGTTTGTTCAGATGATCAACTAGAGACACCAGATCCAGGGACAGAAAGATCTGAACTAGAGTCAAACACTACAAATCCAAAGAGGTTAATTAAACGAGAGAGACCTTGAGTGTTCCTTTGCAGTGGTGGCATCTGAAGCAAGCCTTATGGAACACTCGGTTATCCGCAGTTAACTTATCAACCAGGTAAACTGTTTTGTCACAAGCCATGCACTTCTGAGTTGTTCCTGCAAATGCCATATTTCCCTGTTCTCTCACCTAGGCAAGGTGCACCCAAGCTATATGATCTCTCTCTGTGTGCTTTAAGTAAAATTTTTTTGTTAAGGGAAAGAGCAAAACGATGAAGAAGAGGAGATAAGGATAAAAGGGGTGGTGAAATGTGAGAGGCTGGAGACAAAAGCAGACACCCCAACAAATATACTGTCATTGACAATCATTTTGTCTAATATTTTAACCACCTAACTCACGTTTTCTCCTACACAATTTTAAATGTCTTCAACTGTGGAGTTAAATGCGTCACACTAAAAGACAAGATACAATCACAATAACATAATTTGTACGCAACAAAGAAGATGAAGTTTAACTTTTTGAGCCAAGTACATATACTACAGTAACTTCCAATTACAGTGGCATAGGGATTTTCATTTCTACCATCATCATTGAATTTGTATTATTTCCATTATATTAAGATTGGAAGATGCATGATGATTATTTCACATCTAATGTAAGATAGGTGGAGAACATGACCTTACCGACCATAACTCACTGGCGTTTGACCTAAATCTTTTGCAAAGTCCTTTCAATCTATTATTGTATCATTGAATTAAATTATGGAATCACCAAAGTCTCCAACTAAGTCCTTAATTGATTAATTAACATACACTTACTTTCTGTTAAATAAAAACAGATATATGGTAATTAAATACACTTATTACATTTGAAAGCTACTTTGTAACGTGGGTTCCATGGCACTGCATTGTTCAACATCCAGCTGGCTTGCTTTCATTCTCGAATCCCACTTTCCAAACAGTATATGATCTTTTTCTTCAGTTACAAGGGATGAATGGCATTCCAATGCAACCCTTAGGTAACTTATAACTGTATAGACAACTGAAATTTCTTAAGTTGCACAACTCTTACGTTTACCATTCGGAGTGAAATATGTTATGATAAAATTGCGTTGGGGATTTTATTTGTTTATGGAAAAGATGAGAGATCAACGTCAGGGTGTATAATTTAGCACAAAGTACCTACAATGATGGGTTTGGTGTGTGTGCAATCTTCACTAACACTCCAATTATCATGACAGCTTGCATTTAATATGTTAATGTCGCACACTGTGCAATTTCACTATTTTCATCGTTACAACATATGATTAAAATTGAATGTTTGAAGAGTTTACAAAAAGGGCATTTGGTCTAGTGGTATGATTCTCGCTTTGGGTGCGAGAGGTCCCGAGTTCGATTCTCGGAATGCCCCTTTTTTTCTATATAATGAGATTTTTGGGTATTTTATTTTATTTTATTTTTTTAAATTTCTATGGTACCCTAATTTTCTCTGGCTCATAACGTATTCTTCTTTCTCATTCTTTCTTCCTCTACTACGTTTACCACTTCCCCTCTTCTCTCGCACTTCTGCCACGTTTGCTGTGCCGCCCCGTCCGCGTGCCGCCGCATCCCGTTGTTGCCACCGCGTCTCGCGGACATTGAGTGCGTTTCACTACCGCTGCTGCCGCGTCTCCTGTGGGTGCGGTTCCTCTTTGCATATAAGGATTTCTGTCATGGACCTGTATTGTTGAATTTTTATGATTTCTGTCATCGACCTGTAACTTTTTTTTTTTTTTTTTTTATAAAATTCGTTGGTTTGGGTTTGATTACACAATGCGGTTGGTTTGAGGGGGAAAGTAATAAAATAATATTTTTTTCTTAAGCAACAGATGCTTCATCGAGCAACTTTCCTCCCTTTTGAAGCAATCCTTGATACCATGTCATCCACTCCAATGGAAGAGTTGCTTGAAGCAACTTCGAGCATTTTTCAAGCATCCATGATTGGAGATGCTCTTAGAGATGGTAGTTCATCAGTATTCTTGTTGGTCTCATAGGCAAGGTTGTTGTTGACATTTGCTTAACGATTTGATTGTTTATGTTGTGAAGAAAACTATAGCTGAATTCTGTAATTGGAGCCAAATCCTCGGTTAACCTATTTTTATGTTTTCAAACTTTTATTTTCAGTTCGTCTCTATGAAGCATACTTAATGATTCATTGTCAAAATGTGAAGAATAAATTGGTTAAGTAATGAGAATTTAGCTTTGGCATTAGCATGAAGCACTGATATGTTGTGTGCTTTGTCAAGTAACTGTCTAAAGTGTCGGTGAACGCAGTGCGCACCACTTCGTTTCGTTCATTTTATTCTACCGTCTTTAATTGTGGAGGCTTTATAGGAATATACTTGCTCCAGTCCTATATGGTGTTGTTCTCGTCCTCAAATTTTTGGATTAAGGGTAAACGTTTGGGTTACATATTATTGACATCAAGTAATTTACAAGACATGATGGGTTTCACATCTGTTGTATGTAAGAGGTTTTTAGATAGAGATAATCAGTTTGTATGATTTCTGATTCTGGTTATGTGGTGTAATGCTAAGTCATGCTGGTTTGTGTTTAGAGTTTCTGAGTGTAGTTTTTACTTGGTTGAGTGTAGATTGTTTGATGAAATGCCTAGCCCATTTGGTTAAATCAGCTGTTCAGATTATGTTTTGCCCTCTTACAAGGTTTAATTTTACTGAATATTATTATGTAGGAAAATAGCATTTGGGTTATAAGGAAGGAAAATGGTGTTTGGGCAAGTAGTAGTTGGGCCTCCTGGCTCAGGCAAAACAACTTACTGCAATGGCATGTCTCAGTTTCTAAGTCTTATTGGAAGGTAAGCCTTACTCTCTAAAGGGATATTAGATAGAATATGTTTTTATTATGCTTAGGTTTTCTACTAATTTGAGATATTATATTTGTCTTACATTGCTTTTGGAATGTAGGAAGGTTGCTGTTATCAATTTGGATCCCGCTAATGATTCATTACCGTATCCTTTCCTCTATCTCTTTTACCTTGTTATTCTGAAAATTACACATTTTAGTTGTATAGCTCATTTGTTTGGTTTCCCCTAATGAAGAATATAGCTACGAATGTGCTGTGAACATTGAGGATCTTGTGAAACTAAGTGATGTAATGGTGGAACATTCACTCGGTCCAAATGGGGGTAAGGCACATCGTTTTTTTTGTTTGAATTATTTATTTATTTTAAGAAATTTGCATAAATAATGCCATGGAACCAATTGTACTGTGGGTATCGGACTACTGAAAGTATAGACATGGGCTGATGGTTTTCAAGAAGTTAAACAATATGAAATGGTTTTTTCAAAAGGAACTTTGAATGTGTCACACCAGCTTTTCTAATGAATTTGTGCCTTGCCGTGTACTCACTCTGAAGTTTCTTGGGTCTTGTACAAGCAGGTCTTGTGTATTGCATGGATTATCTTGAGAAAAATATTGACTGGTTGGAAGCAAAATTGGAACCTCTTCTGAAAGGTCAGTTCATTATCATGCCTTAGTTTCTAGATGTATATCCTTATATCGTCTCTCCTGTTCGGTTAACACACTCTAATAAAGTATTTACATTTCAGATCACTACCTACTCTTTGATTTTCCTGGCCAAGTTGAACTCTTTTTTCTTCATTCAAATGCCAAGAATGTCATCATGAAGCTCATAAAGAAATTGAACCTAAGGGTATAGTTCTGTTTTTTTACGACTTGTTGATGTTAAAACATATGCTATTATAAGAACTCATTTATATGTTTATTCTATGCAGTTAACTGCAGTGCATTTGATTGATGCCCATCTTTGCAGTGACCCTGGGAAGTATATTAGTGCATTGCTTTTATCCTTGTCCACAATGCTGCATCTAGAACTCCCTCACGTAAATGTATTGTCTAAAATTGATTTAATTGAGAGCTACGGAAAGCTAGGTGCAGTCATTACCTATTTTCAGATGTCAGGGGTTAGATGTATTTTACTTCATGCTGGTTACAGTGACAGATTTACATGCTGACTTAAAGTTTGATTGTTGCAGCCTTTAACCTTGATTTCTATACAGACGTGCAAGACTTGTCATATTTACAATACCATCTTGATCAAGATCCTCGCTCTGCTAAGTACAGGTAACCATGCTTTTTTGCCAATAGTTATTTTGATGTTTTGTAGTTGTGTTGATACTTTTTAACTGCTTTTTTTCTTAAGATGTAGAATTTTTGGCTCTGTTTGGATAAACAATGTAGAATTTAGCTTATGGAAGCTCATTTGATGTTTTGCTTCTTATTTTTTTCTTCTAGAAATGTTTTTGGAGAAGTTTATCCAAACATTTTATTACATCTTGCTACATTTTGCTGTATCTTGTCTACCCCGGGCATTAAGGCCATCCAAATTGTTGCAAAGCTACATGTTTTTAATTTCTTCTGTGTAATCCATGAAACGAAAAGGAATGCAGACAAATTTTAAATTTTAGTTCTTTGGTCAATAGCTTTCTCTTTGATAGAGAGGTAATAGTCTAAAATATGCAATAAATCTTCATACACTTAATGAAAATATGATTTCTCATTGGGTTCTCCATTGATTGTAGCAACTTATAATGACAAATATGCAGCAATTTTTGTTCAAAAAAAAGAAGAAAAAATATGCATCAATTGGATCATTCATTCATTTACCGCGCTTGCAATGTTTATAATGGGCTAGGATCCAATCTATCCAGATGTTGAAATTTGCCAACGTGGGTGGATTAATAAAATTCCCCGGTTGATGTTTGGGGTCTATATTTCATTATTCCGGAGACATCTTAAATGTTAGCCTTACAAAGTGAATAAAATGGGTGGTCAGGGAGGTTTAGATGTGTCTGATGGAAATTGTTTTGTCAGTAGTATACATCATTGTTAATTCTTTCTTGTTGATCACCTTCTTCTGTTCTCGAATTCATCCTTACGATAGACATTTGCGGTGATTCTGAGTACTATTTATCTTAATGATATTTGCAGAAAGCTCACAAAGGAACTATGTGAAGTTATTGAAAACTTCAGTCTTGTGAGTTTTACAACCTTAGATATTCAGGTACACTAAGCAGGCCTATATTTTTCATCTGTTTGCATCAATTGTTTGGAATCATAAGTCAAAATTTCCTTTTTCAGGACAAAGAGAGTGTAGGGAATTTAGTGAAGCTGATAGACAAATGCAATGGGTACATATTTACCGGTATAGAAGCAAGTGCAGTTGAATTTAGCAAGATTGCCATTGGTCCTGTTGATTGGGATTATTATAGATATCCTTTTTTACTCATCTATTCTGAATTCTGACACCTTTGGATGATTTACTGTAGAAAGTACCATTACCTTCACTATTGCATAACAGAACTACCGTTGCTCATTGCTTTCCAATGCACATACTGTTTTTACCTGATTCTTGGGAGCCCTTAGTAACTGTGATGATGAGTGGTACCTTATACATTATAAACTCAAAAGTTGTCTTTCCTTTGGGGAACATGTTAACTAAACTATTGTGGAATCTGGATTCAATGCATTTGTAGGAAGAAATGACCGGTCAAAATATGGAGGATTCACGTAAAACCTCTTTGAAATATGTTCCTTTTGAAGGAAAAAATTGCTTTATTTTTAAATCAGTTGTTCATGTGAGCATTACATGGCCAACCTGTTAGAGGCTTTGAACATCATAATGAGCTCTGTAACTCTGTACAGGTAGGTGGCCAATTTTGCCATTATTCCTCAACCAGTTTTAGAATTTCATCCTCTTGAAGAATGAGGATTTATTACATACTTGTATTTGACATATAGAAATTATGACATTGCTCTCAACTCCCATTAGAACATTTTCTTGCATTATTGATGTCAAATGTAGATGTCTCTTATAGAAAATCACTTGTGTGATCAATCTAAGTCTCCAATGATGTTATGAGAATTCCCCCCTCCATGAAGATGGATGGATATTGAAAGGTAATAGAACAATAGTTTCCAAGTTGCATTTTGAGCTTGCTAATGCTGTAGTCTTAACCAGTGTTCTGATAATCATGCTTGTATCAATTTTGTTGCTTATTTTCCTTTGACCTCTTTGCTGGTCAAAGTCTTGAGTTCTCTGAGCTTCCCTTAACTCAGCAATCTACAGTTGCAGCAGTGCAAGAAAAGTACATGAAGGATGACGAAAATATTGATGATAATGAATGATGGGGAAAAGGTAAATAATTGAAAGAGAATGGCACTTTTGAGTGACTTGTGAAATCATAGTGAATTTTACTTATAGTGACTCCTGTTGCAGCAGATATTGTACAGGAAATATATCATGACATGGTTTGGATTTCTTGTTTTTAATAGTAATGAAGAACATGGAGATAGTTGAGTTTCAAATTTGGCAAACTTTGTATTATATTACAATCCTGTTGCTTAGATTAGATTTTATTTTATTTTTTGTTCTTTAAAGTCATTTCATCTTATTTATCGCATCAAGGGTATAACTTTTCACTTTGTGGGAGATATGGATTTTTGGAGAACTAATAACGTCTATTTATACCACAAAGGACTAAAATGAATTACATTTTATGAAAAGAGAAACTATGCTAATTGTTTGTAATCTCAATAATCAAAATGACAGTTTGTATTTTTTTTTCCTTTCTTGATAATACCTGAAACGCTGCGCAAATGTATTATGCTATCATGTGGTCAGAGTTATCCTTTTTCCACCACAAGTCATGGATAGTTTCCACAAACACTTGTTAAAATAATGCAGTTGAGTTTTGACATTGAACATGTCAAATGATTACCGTGTTAGTTCTCAACCCGTGAATACTTTTAAATAAGAGCAAGTTTCAATGCACTGAATTTCTACAGGTTTGAGATTGTTTCTAACTGCACTAACTTTTACTTGTATTCAAAATAATTTTTAATAAAGAATGGTGGAAACATAAAATAGTAAAGGTATCCTCTAGAAAGTTTAAAAATTATAAAGAAATAGTTTGACTTATAAATGCTAGTTATGAACATACGATAATGTAAATGTTCAACTATTTGAATCTAAATTTAATATACTAATTACACACTTGTAGAAATTAATTTATGAAATCAAATTTTTGAATTCTTTTCAGTGAACATCTGCCATGTAGTGCTGTTACAAGTAAAAACTATACCTGGTTATTTGATTGTTAAATGCATGCATATAAAATCATATTGTGTTAATAATTATATTCTGCGTAGACTTTTTTAGCGATGAAGTGTTTGAATAGACTTTTGGGCACCAATTTAAATTCAAAAATTGAAATGAAAGTACGTTCAATTTATAAATTTTGCCGTAATCAAATATTGATTAATTTCGAAACTTCGTGTTTCCAACAGAATCAAGCATTGGAAAATAAGATTGCCTTTCTTTATTTTCTTTGTTGCCCCTCAGTTTCACATTCAGGTTTCAATCAACTTAGTTTCCTTCTAATTCAACATAGAAATATTCAGAAAAGCATTTCCAATATATATATAAAATGATTTTTCATAAATTAAAATAAATCTATACACATGTTCAAAATAGAAATTTAAGAAAAATAATATGAAATATTTTCTATAAATTCGTCTTACCTTATAATAAAGTTCAATTTTTTCTATCCTTTTTATGGAAAAACTTATCTAAATAAGTTCTCAATAATTTATCTCTGTCTATATATATTTAGTTGTAATTGACAAAATATAATAAATTCATATATTTGATACATAACATAAAATATTCGAGTTTGTGTATGAATGACAAAGACTTCTTCAATTCCTCAACACCCTCCTTCACAAGTATCGACGTTTTCCAAAAGAAGAAAACAAGTTATCTATAATTTATAACCCATGATTCATTTTTCTATACCGTCATCATCTACCCAATTTTAAAATATTAGTTTGAAAGAATAACCTAAGCAAAGAAGCAATCTCTCTCTCTCTCTCTCTCATAAGTCAAAGATTAAGATAGCCACGTTGGAAACTCTTGCATTAATAAATTTCAAACGTTTGATTTGACCCTAAGGCGTGTTCGGCTTGATTATTATTTGATTGGATCCAGTCAAGTTCTCGTCTTTACCTCGATGAATAAATATATATTTCCCAATCCATCTTCTCTTTGTTTCGCAATAATCTTAAACTTTCCAAAAACTCCATCCAACAACGTTAAGTGAAAAAATCCACCTTTGTTGTTCTTTCCACACATGTTGAACCATTTTGTTTGTGGCAGTTTCCAGCACCAAGAAGAAGATGTTGCACCATGTTCAAGCCCCAAGAGTTCCAAGAGAAAAAAAGAAAGCAGAAATAACAACCCATACTCCAATCGAGGCTTAGACAAGTTTTCAGCACTTTTGGCTGATCTTGACGAGAGAAGGCAAAAGGTTTACTCACAAACGAGTCCTGAGGAGATATCTTTGGTTCGGTTTGCTTATTCAAGCAACGATGATTTCGTTCCCATAGTGGTCAAAATGAAAAACAAGGATCAGAATAAGAAACACAAGAGTGAAGAACTCAAAGCAAGACACTTGACATCTTTCTCGGAGCAATTGGAGAAATCAGCTGAAGAAGCAACCGTGGAAGAAAGGAAGCAACAACACAATAAGTTGAAATCTCATCAGAAGAAGAATTTTAGCTTTTCTTCGAATATGTTGACGTGGCCTTCTTTCTATGTGCCAGCAGTTGTGATTTTGATTTTGGTTTTTCTGATTGTGTTTGGTAGATCGGTTGCAACACTTTGCACCTGTGTTGTGTGGTATGTGGTTCCCACGTTGAGTGAATGTTACCATGATAGTTCGAAGCCAAGGAAATCAGTGATGAATTGGAAGAAGAGAGATTATGTTTGGGGATGGTTGAATGACATGAAGATGGTGAATCCTGAAGATGGATTAGCTTCTCCAAGAACTGGTGATTTCAAGGTTTATTCCAGTGGCAAGAGTTCAGGGAAACATGGCCACCAGAAAAACTGGTGAGGATTGTTTCCTTGTGTAAATACGTGTATGTTTTGTTGGTAACGTTCTTGAGAGTGGTTAAAAATTCAATCTTTCTCTTTTTGACGTTTTGCCAGTGTAATTAAATTGTGATAGAGTTAGGGCTGATAAAATGTACATGGAGTTTGGTAATGTGGTTTTGTTGACATTAAGTTTCTTTAAAATTAAAATCAAATGCAGTGATGATCCATTTCTGATCTCAACTATGCACTCAGCAACTAGCTAAATAATTAAAAACTATATTTCCAATTACTAATTCTAGATTTTATTTTACATGATGGACAATTTGGTCCAAAATATTATTGGTTTCGATTAAAGACCAATTATTTATTATGTTAGAGGTTAGGATGTAATTTAACAGCTCCAAACGTTGTTTAAATATGTTACTTAATCTTCTCCTTCTTATAGTTTTTCATTAAGTTTCTAAATATTATTTAAAAATAAAAATAAAAATATTATTATTGATATTATACATAAATTATGTAAAAATTTTAAAAATATATGAATTATTTAAAAATAAAAAATTACTTAAAATTGAATATAAGTAATTTGATTATGAATAAAATCTATAGTAAAATATTTATTTTTATTTTTAAATATTTATTGGAAACTTTCTTTAAAAACACGTCCTTTTAAATTTCTGGAAACTTCACTCCCTTATACTATTCCGCTAAATGAATCATTAGTGGGTGATACATGTGAATGTGTGGGTTATTTTCCATATTACGTAGCATACATCATTTGAAAAAATGAAAAATGGGAACTTTAAAGATCTCACAAGAAAACCATGTTTCTCTCCAACAATAGATTCGAAAACAGTAATTTCACTCTTATTTTTGTTAAGAATGTTCTGTTTCCAGAATTGGTCGTGACCTCAGCTCATAGCATAATGGGTGTGATTATTTTTTGTGCTAAGAAAAAGTAATTAATAAAACATGATTTTTGTAAAGTGGTTTTTATATAATTTTTTTTGTATTTTAATTATTTTGTTATATCATGTTTTTCTGTTTTTATATTTATTTTTTATGAGTTAGGTAATGCAGTCTCATTAATATAATTTATTCCGCTGCTATCGGCTTTTCCTCGTTTGTCACCGCGTCCATTCACCTTCTTTTCCTTAACTACCAACCAAATTAGGTTGAAAATAATTTGAAAAATGTTGTATTTCCAACTATCTCTTAAGAAAAAAATTAAATATAATCAATGCTTTAACAAAATAAAATGCATTTCATGTTTATAGGAAAGTAAGAAAATTAATAGTTTATACTTTATTAATTCTTGTAAAATATTTTTGTTATATTTTATTCTTTAAATAAGATTATGTTATTTTACTGCTGATATTTTTTTCTTTTTATTTGATTTTAATTTTATACATGATTTTAATTCAAACAAGTTTATATGATTTAGAAATTAATCAATATTTTATTACATCATTTTATTCAACATAAGGTTATTCATTTAAATTATATATTTATAAATATGGAAATAATTAAAGTATTCTAGCATTTGAAGTTTTATTGTACTATGATTTAATCACAAATTGTTATCATTGATGCATTTGAAAAAAAAATGTATATATATATATATATATATATATATATATATATATATTTACTACTTGAAGCACTATAATGTAAATACTTAATAATTAAAAAAAATCTGAAGTGGATTGCTTGATTTCTTTCTTCTTTTAGAGTCGATAATAATAATAATAATAATAATAATAATAATAATAATAATAATAATAATAATAATCTAATTCGTTATTAATTTCATTTATTAATCCACATATGTTAGGTACTACGTTAGATTCAAATAAAAACACCAAATTATAAAGTTTCATAATGCATTTTGCATTTTAGGAAAAAAATCTTTATGAGATAAATTATTATATACAATTCGCGGATGAACTCATACAACTATAATTTTATTTTAAAAAATAATTACCTATCTTATGAAAATTTATCGGACCACATGGTTCCAGAGTATTCGTCGAATGAAAGTAAAATGGAAAAAACATGGTCCACCTCATTTTTAGAATTTTATATTCAGAACGTCAAATCCCAAATCGAATTAGAAATAGTAAAATCAAGAAAAAATATATTGAAATCTTGATTAATACAACTTAACAATATGAATTTATCCATCTAATTAATATGAGTTATTGTTGTACATGGCCACGGATTTAACACGTTATTTTTAGATAAACTTAATTTAAATTGAAAAAAAAAAATAAGAAAAATCAAACCATATCTATCTATAACAGAACAAACAAAAAAACAATTTAGCAGCGAATTACTTGTTGCCGTGACATGACACCTAATTATCTATGGGTTTGAAACTGACGCTTGTTAGACCTAATATTTAATTAGTAAAAGAACTTAATTTTTTTTTATGAAAATGTTTATTTTTAAAGAAATAAGTTTAAATAAGAATAAATTCCATTAGATAATGTTTTAAACAGTAGCATATATATTTTGATGATAAGATAACTATATATTAAAAGTAATGAGTGAGAGACACAAATTGAACGCGGGACGGCGCAACGGAATTTTGATAAAAGATGTGAGCATGTTGTTGTGGAATAATTGTTAATAGTAATATTAATTTAGCATCTTACTCAGCATCACACCAATCCATAGAAGAAAAAAAAAAAAAAGAGAGAGAGAGACAAACTCCAAGGAAAAAGGGAAGGTAGAGAGAATTAGAGAAAAAAAGGAAAATAGAGATTGAAGAGAGAGGGAAGAAACAGAAGGGAAAAAAAGAGAGAAAAAGAAAGAGCATAGGGTAGGGTGACCCACAGAGAGAGGGGAGGGGGAGAGGCACGAAACCATGGGGTTGTGCTTTGGTTGCTTCGATGGGGGCAACAAGCGTATGACCAAAGAGGAAGAGAGATTGGCTTCTGAAGAAGCACGTGCAAGAGCTGCTGAAGCCGCTCAGAAAAAGTATCAACCATTTCATCTTCATCTCCATCTCCATCTTCATGCATGCATTAATTCTTTCCACACCACCTACGTCAAACTTCATCATCATGCATATATGCTTGTGAAAAATAATCCATCTGCTGCTTTTATTCTTATGCATGCTTTGCTTCTCATCATTCAATATATATCTTATGTGTGAATATCTTCATATTTCTACGTCAAACATTCGCCATGGTGTGCTTATTCCTTCGTGATGTCTCACGTTTGTGGAAGAACTTGTATGCGATAGAAGATGTATTTTTGAATAAATTTTAGTATTTTGAGAGATTTGTTTTTAAATTGGGTCAAAACATCTTGAATTACGAAGAATTGTAGAAAGTAATTGACCATGGAAGCCTTTAATACCCTGGTCAACATAGAAAAATGGTAGAAAGATGTTTAAAGTGGGAAAATAACATTTTTACAATGGCTCTTTGTTTTCTGGGTGATGATATAGGTATACAGATATAGACTAACTTTTAGTTGTTGAATGTCATTTCAGGCAAGAGCAACCAGGAGAGGCAAAGCAAGCAGAAACGGCAGAAGCAGCAGAAGCGGCAAAGGAAGGTGAAAACTCCAACAATGACGAAGCTTAGAGAAACAAGGGGCCACTTGATTTTTGGTAAGTATTATTGACTCACAATCTGGTTAAATCTCTGCTAAATCACCATCATACAATTCTAGGAAAATTCTGTGGACTTTGATCAAGAATTTATTGCACTTTTTCTATCATTTAAAAAAAATTTATTTCCCCTTGATATGCTGCTTTGTTGCCCTTGCCGTTTGGCTATTAATCTTTTCATAAATTCATTAGACAACATTATTGAGGGTTAGACCAATTGTTTATTACATGAAAGGTGAATGATCTATCTGATAAAGTTTAGTCTAGGTTGCTCCCTTCAAAACTTTTTTTCTTGTAAACAAAGATTTGCATAAACAAAGTTTAATGTATATGCAACTCATTTCATTGAGTCAAAAATAAAGTCTGTCATGGGTATATAAGTCGAATCACATACAATATCAATGATAGCCAAATTGAAGATTTTTCATGAATTCTGTCTGGCGTGGCATATACCGTATCATCAAAATGCTGCGTGTCTGCATTAATCTTTCACATGAAAAAAATTTTAAAATCCAAATGGGGCGTAACCAAAAAGATGTTTTTTTCTGCATTGTGTCGATTAGGACAATTCCTGAGTTACTATGTTGCTAGCAGAACTTGTCTTTTCTGTGCGTAATGAAAATATCTTCTTCCAATTCAGAATTTGGAAATTACTTGTCTCATTGGTTTTTCACTTTCATCTTTTGCAGTATTATTAAGTATAGGTCCAGACAAATCCTCTGCACTGCCCAGCTTTCCTTGCTCCGGAGATGAAACAAACGATCTTTACTACAACTATAACAGCGGTCAAATTTGTTGTTTTCCAGATCAGGAAATATTGTGTTTGATTGGAAAGAATTCGTGATGTAAAGGACACAAGGATAAGTTGAGAATGTAGCCTGGTATTTTATTCAATTTGTTGGTATTTCCTTCCACAAAATTTGAACGCATCAACCAGTTTGTTATCTGTTGTTCTATTGTATTTGCTTTTATCTTGGGAAGAGGTGCTAAGTAGACACTTAAACTTGTTTCATGCTTCTACCATTGGAGAAATACGTGCTGCATATGTCAATAGTATTTCGAGTACGGATAATATGACACAGAAATTAAACGTCACCAGACTAATTTAAAAGTGAAGGAATTTTAATAGTAATACATTCAGAACAAACGAGAATTGCTCCCATGTCCCAGTTCTGGGCATGCATTATAAATTGTACCAAGAAAAAGCCAGAATAATTTTAGCATCTCATCTTGCAGTTAACTGTGTAAGTTAGCAGGAGACTTTATTTTGGCGATGAATTTGAGATGAAGCCTTTCTATCAAATGCATATGGACCAATTGGTTCTTGAAGTGTAGAACAGCTCAATACTAATTTTCCAATTCTTGATGTTTCTTTTATAAGAGAATTGAAGAAAACAAAGCTTTACTGATAATGTTGGCTGCTAACATAAAATTCATAATGGGATGTTAGATTGATGGTTGAAGTCGTAACATGAAAGTTGCTTCTCTTTTTTTTTTTTTTTTTTTTCGGCCCCACAAAAACAATCCTGTGAACCAACGGTTAGACTTCTATATAATGTTTACTGAATATGAACAATTCAACAATAGGTAATTTTCTTTCACAGTACAGAAAGAATGTACCAGAAAGACAAAAGCAATAATGAAGCATCCTGTTATTGACACAAACTATATCGCCGTTTCACCATTTCCGTCCACAGTTAATTCCACTAGCGAAACAATGACACTTTGATTTGAACAGAATGAAGAAAATCCATTGATAAGTAGCTAGAATTTAGCTATACAATTTTACAGAATCAATAACCAAGCAAGGGTAATAATTGTGGAATGAGTATTTTTGTCATTTAGTTGCGGCTCGCATGTTTTCTATCATTCTTTTAGCAAACTCACTTTCCCTCGACCAAAAACAGTAAGAGTGTTTTCCCAAAGTCTCCATTACTTAAAATTTTTGCACTGGAGATGAAAGCTCCAGCTCATAAGCAGCTTGAAAGAACTCTGCTGCTTGTTGTAATAAACCTTCCGTTTTTGAAACCAAACCAAGGTTGAACCAAGCATCATGGTTCGTAGGTTCTAACCGTAAAGCATTCATTAAAAAACTTCTTGCAATTGGAAGTGATTGCATACCAAGTTTCATCAACAATTCTGCAGTAGAAATGATACTGGGAATGTAATCTGGTTCTATTGACAATGATATTGAGAAGGAAACAAATGCCTCTTTGTATAATGATTGAGCTTCAAGCACCACCCCTGCAATTGTAAACAGGGAATTGCATATTAGGTTAGCATGAGCATAAACACTCAATGCAGACATGAGTTCGACCATAAAAACTTGAACAGACAGGTTCCTTACCTGTAATATGCCAACTTCTTGGAGAAAAAAATTTTATCAATTGGGCCTTGTCAACACAAGTTTTTGCATCAAGCAGGGAACCGATATCTTTATAAATGGTAGCCAAATCCTGCCAGGCTTCCATTTCCACCTTCCTTTCTGTTAATGCCTGCCCAGAGGGATGCAAAAGTTAGAAAGGGGCTTCTTTTCAAGATTTCAGAGATGAAACCAATATTTACTCTACAAATAATGAACATAAAGAAATGCACGTAATGGTTAATTCCCATTGTTCCACGCTAGGCATAGATAACCTTTGAACATTCAAAATTTAAAATCTATCATATTCAGGAAGGGGAAGGGGAAGGATGGGAGGCGTTTCTTTCAACACACCAAAGTTCTTAAGAGAATTACTGTTAAACTAAGTGTAGGTATAACCATAGTTCTTTTAGCAGCTTACAGTAGACAAGGGTATTTCTTCTTTTGAATCAACTTTAACATCAGTATATACAAGGGATTTTAGAGTTCTTCATTTGAAAGTACTACACACCTCATGCACAAATACTTGTTCTAGATCTATGTTGTTATCATGAAGCCAAAGCTCCTTTTTTGCTTGAATTAGTGCAAGCAAGATCCTATATGTCTCTATCGCTTGCCTGGGTTGCAGCTGAGCAATTTGAAGTACTGCTTTCAATCTCAGAAGATCAAGTTGATCCATTCCCCCGGCCTCATCTAAAGCAAAATCAACTATAGTCTCAGCATCCTTAAACCGCTTCTGTGCAGATACTATAAGTGCTAAGAGCTTCCAACCTCTTGAACTGCCAACAGTCATGTCTGAGAACATCATTATGTTGTTGTAAGCTGCATCCAGATTCCGTTGAATTGCATTTTCTAGTCCAAGGCTGAATATTGCTTCCAGGTCATCATTTCCATTTACAGCAGCACAGTTTAGAGAGTCCAAAGACTCTCCTTGAAATATACTTCTTTCAGAATCGAGTACAGAAATTCTAGCTGCAGCACCATAGGAGATGCCAAGAAATTTATGGCCTTGACTCAGAAAATGCTCATTTTGGCGCTGAGCTAGCTCAATAACTTTACGTGAAAAGTTAACGCCTTCATGAGCATGGCGAGGATCTAAGGAACAGAGTTTTGCCCCAAACAAAAATGAGAGAAAATGGGGTCTATGGTTTGCTTCAGAACTGCCACAAGCCTTCCTTAAAAGGTTCAATGCCACCTCATTATGTCCTGCTGCACTATAACACAGAGCAAGAAAGTACCACCTCTCAGCTCGACTATAGATACCAGGAAGAATCTGCTCTACATGATCTGCCAATAACTCAAACATCCCACTGACTGAAAGTGCAAAGGTAAGATGATCCATTATTTCAGCATCCCAATCTATTTCCCGTATTGCCACCTTGCTCATGAGTAATACTAGCAAAAGTATTGCCTCTTCAACACTACTCTCAGGTGTTGTCTTACCCCAGACATGCAACTGAGAGGATAGGCTAACTTCAACACCGCCATAGAGTAGTATCGTAGCTAAATCTTTTTGTACAGCAGCCAACCTTTGTGGCTCCAAATTCCATGGCTTGAGCAGAGCACGACGATATCCAGCTACAGCTTCATCAAGAAATCCTGCTTTGATCCACAGGCTTGGAAGTAATTCCAATGCTTTATGAAACATCTCTTGCAACTTACAATCTTCGCCAATACCCTCAGGCATTCCATTAGGAAGGGCAGATTCAATTGTATCAAGAACTATTCTGCACTCCTTTGCAGCCTCTGGCAAAATAATAAAGCACTAAAACTCATCAGAATTGGCACCCCAAAACTCTCATCCTTAATAATGAAGTTAAATTTAAATAGTGTAACGTCCATGATCTCATGCCATATTATATTGCACAATTTAACATAGAAGACAATGGAAGTACTCTGAGAAAAAGGCAATATAAAGTACAAAATATAAAATTAGTTACCAACCGATGTATTCCCCAAGTTCCTCCAATGACCTTGCTTTGAGCAAAATTGCCTCAAGAAGCAGGCTAACAGAGTGCAAAGACATCACATTCGAAACCACGATGTCTGCCTTGGAACGTGGTTTCCTTTGCTTGGTTCTTTCAGCAATAGCCTTGATCATTCTTGGGGTCAAACCCTTGATGTCTATACCCTGAAACACTTGAAGTGCAGCATCGAAATTCCCTCTTTGGTATTCAAGTCTCCCCAACAAAGCCCTAGCCTCCTGAAATCCAGTCAAAACACACATGAAACTTAAACCAAAAATAAAATTCACACGCACACACAATCACAAAATCTTGTGAATCAACTACTAGGTGATCGTTCTAACTTACATAATACTCAGGAGTATGCGGTCGCATTAAATACTCAGAAGTCGAATTTTACCACCTATAGTAATCTTAATCAACTCGAACACGTATCCTATATAATCACAAACTATTGGGTATTTCACGATTATCATGGTCTCAACTAATCTCAATATTATTTGAACACGAGTTGTTCAATTTAAAATAAAAAATAAAAAATAATGACACTCAAATTCTTCTTATCAGGTAGAAATTAGTTGAATCATCATAGTTAGTTGCGTACTATACTCTAGTCAAATATACACAAAGTATCCTAAAAGAAACACAAACAAAAAAAGTAGTGATAGAAAAGCATTGGTATTTGGCACTACCAACCTCATAATTTAAGGAGAGAGCTTCTTTAAGAGTAGATTCAGCTTGTTCTACTTGCGTTTCATCGAACTTAGGTTCCCACTCCCCGGTGTTCCTGGAAGAGAGTCCGCTAGCGGAGAAATCCCTGGTGGCGAGGGAATCCGGCGACTGCGGCGGCTCTTCGAATTTAAACTGCTCACCGGAAGAACAAGCGCACAACATCTTCTCCGATCACTCCGCCCTCAGAGCACACCTTTTAAGAAACGCGGTTCCGTTAGTGCAGTGACAATTGACAAAGCAAATGAAACGAAGAATAGCGCGATGGATGCCGTAACGTGCCTTACATTACAGTAAACGAGACGGAAACGTGAGAGAGGAGCAGGGTGAGAAAAAGTGAAGAGGACAAAAGGTTGTGAAAAGGGCGAGACAAACAACGAGAACAGAGCATTGGACTCACCACTGTTAGCTCGGATTCCGATGATTTCCACTAACTTTACCCATTCATCACCGGGACCAATCCCCAGCTTCTTGCGCAAATCCGATTTCGAGATCTGAAAATTCAACTTTATTTTTTCTTTTTATTCTCCGAGTGGAATGCCAATGAATGTTCGTGGTGGAGTCTTTCGTCTTTCGTCTTTCGTCTTTCAGCTCTGAGACTGGTTCGGAGAGTTGGAAGTTCGGCGTTCAAATATTTTTATTTGACTTTAAAAAGGCAAATGCAACGAACGCGGGGAGTAAAGAAATTCAGAAAATGTAAACTGAGTAAACGAGGGTTGGGTTGGGCTGGGCTAGGACCACCATTTTTGGAAAAGTGAAGCCTACACTGGACCCCGCTGGAAGGGACAAAAATGTCAGGTACATACGTAAGGAAATAGTGAAGGACATGCTTATGCATATCTTCATTTTTTCCATCACAAAATTATTACTATAACGTTTGGTACAAACACTAATTAGATTATAAAATTACGCAGTTTAATAATGAAAATAAATAGTGTTAATAATAACAATGAATTAAATTATAAACTCAAACATTATATTAATTGTACTTTAATGTCTTGTTTAAAGTGATAGAGTTAGGTAAAAGAAAAATAATTTGGTACTGTTTTGGATTGGTTCTTTATATTTTTCTGGTAAGAGGTATTGCTTATTAATAATAATGTGACACAATAATAACCATAAATTATATTTTTCAATATAGAAAAACTACCTGAGTTGTTTCAGTTAAGAACGCTTTAAAGATTCACAGACAATTTAACATTTTGGCTACAACATTCCAATATTGGACCATTGTGGCTATTGATGGAACAAGGTTCCATAGAGACCATCCTTAATACTCTAAACCCTGAACTACTCATCATCATCCACTTCCCATCACTGTCCCTAGTAATGTCCCCAAAACCAGCTTTACAAGACATTGCGAGTTCAATAAACCCAATAACTAGTCGTAACCTGTGAAGAGTAGAATAGTAGTGAGTGGAGGTTTGAAAAAGCAAGAGGGAGTGGGAATACCCATTTTTTGTCCTCATTTCAAAAGCATTTTTTAATCTGACATACCTCGTCCCACTTTTCCATGCCTCTTCTCTTTTCACTCTCATCTTCTTTTTAAAAGTTTCTATAAGTAATACTTTGATTGATGTTATATCAAATTTTGTAGAAAACGAAAACCTAGAAGTCTGTGACATACTTTTCCTTTTGTATTGATTTAAAAGCACTGATTAGATGTCACTTAAACAATCAATTAAATCGTTTATTGACGAAATATTTGACTAGCTACACTTTAACCAATCAAAGCATTTGATTTGTGCACTTTTAAAAGCCTTATAATAATAAATCAGAAAAAAAAAAAAACAGAGCTAGGAAGTGATGAATTTTATGGATAATCTAAACATGCAATTTCTAATGAAATAAATGTGTCGCAAAACATTCGACGTAGATCTTTTCTTTTTTCTTTTTGTGCAACTTAGAACAGAAATAAATAAAATGAGACCTGAACTTTTCTTATATTTCTATTCCAGTCCACGTAAGGATTGTAATAATACTTGCTCTTAACAATTTGTTCAAGGCATGATCATGGTTAATGGGTATGAAGATAATAAGAAAGGGGTTATTTGCAAAATCATTTTATGATCCATGAGAAAAGAAAGTGTAGGATTACAAAATGAGGGAAAGTTGACGACGTTTATAATAGGGGAAAGAACGTATTCAAAGCTGAAGAAATTTCATGGGATGAAAATCCTAAGCATTGTGCAAACTGAATAGAAAGGGGGTGTAGTAGTGTAAAGGGGGAGTGTAAATAACAATGCCCAATGATTTCAATGGGCCGAATGATGGAGTCCAGTTGAGTTTTCTGGGAAAGATTACGAAAGGGAGAAAATTGTGCGGAAAATAAAAATAGAAGTGTAAGAAGGGAAGAGAAGAGAGGAGAGGAGAGGGAGAGAGTGATAATCGTGATCGAGTTGAAATCAATCAAAGATGCTCCGAACATGCATACGCATGTGTGGAAGCAGATCAGAGACAGAGAAGCTGGGAAAGTGCATACGAACCATTTCGCGAATCGCATAAAATCGAATCGCATTTCGCAGCTCCAATTGTCGAATCACAAAGACATCGTCTCCCCTCACAAGGGCGCCGTCAACTCCCTTCAGGTACATACTCCCACTCAATATCCTTCCACCGTCAATTCAAACCCCCACCCCCTTTCCACGCATTCCAATATCACCGTCAAATCAGATTGATTCGACAGAGGGAAGGTATCTGCTCTCCGCCGCCTCCGATGCCTCGGTAGCCGTGTACGACGTTCAACGACCCTCCGCTTCCGAATCAGCCGCCGCCTTCTCCAAGCACAAGTGCTTATTTGTCGTAGACAAGCAACACCAACAGGCCCACAAATATGCCGTGTCCACTGCCATATGGTATCCCATTGACACCGGCTTGTTCGTCACTGGCTCATATGATCATCACATTAATGTTTGGGATACCAATACCACCCAGGTCATCATCATATTTTTTTTTTTTCTATATTCGTTTTTAAACAATTTAATTACAATGCATTTTTTTAAACCGTAGATTGGGTACTATACTACTACCACTACAATTACAAAAGGATAACATTGATTGTGGAAAGTTGTAATAATCACTTTAAAAGTTGATTTTAAATTGGCTCGCAGTGCATGTTTGGAAATTAAACTCTATATTTAAATTAACTTGTTCATTGAATTATGCAGGTGGTGGTGAACTTCAAAATGCCGGGAAAGGTGTATAGGACTGCAATGTCCAATTTGTCAACCTCTCACATGCTTATCGCTGCTGGCACTGAGGATGTCCAAGTTCGCCTTTGTGATATTGGTTCTGGGGCTTTTGCTCACACTTTGTCCGGTCACCGTGGTATGTCAATACTCTATTATTCCTCCTGCTTTGTTAATTTATTTACGCATGGCTTGTTGTCTTTCCAGTTATAATTGATTACACGGAGGTTAGGTTAGTTCAGTTGATCATTTGGTTATTACTAGTGTAAACTGACATGTTTGTATGGTATGGTTCTGCACTTTGTTGCGTGCTTCTTACATTAAGTAGGAACATAAATCGTCTGCCAAATGATTTCGCAGTTTAGATCTAATCCTGTGTAAAATACAAGAAAGTGAGATAGATTTCTGAGTGCTTCTTTAGTAAGGTTTTGTGTCAAACGTTTTCTGTTATGACAGACGGTGTAATGACTGTTGAATGGTCTAATTCAAGTGAATGGATCTTGGTTACCGGGGGATGTGATGGTGCAATACGATTTTGGGACATCAGGCGTGCTGGCTGTTTCCAAGTTTTAGATCAATCTCGGACTCAGTTTGGAAGACGACCACCTATACTCAAACGCTCCATGATACCTAAGGTTTTAATTTTTTATTTTATTTTATTTTATTTTATTTTTTCTCCTTCTTCTAAGTTTATCATTTCCCTGTCTGCACATAGTGAGTCAAAATGGTGGTTATTACGGATGATATTGTAGCTGAAATAACTCTAGGGTTCGTTTGGTTTAGATGATGGAAAGAGGGGGAGGATAGATTTGTGAATAAATGGAAGATGAGTGGTAGTTTAGATATGTGGATGTGTGAAGAAAAGAGAGCAAAGGGATGACAGAGATAACTTCCCACTCCCACGTAATAATCGATTATGTTGCCTAAAATAAGATTCAAATAAGTGTTTTTGACAACCACAACTGATTATGTGATACCCATAATCCACATGATCGATGATGGGTGTATTTTTTTTTCTTTTTTATTATAATTATAATAACTAAGAATTAAAAAGTAATATTTATATTAATAAATACAATAAAGTTGTTAATAACAAATAAATTCGTCTTTCTGTCTAGTCATTTCTTTTCATCCAAACAATTTCTTTCCACCCATTTTTTACCCGTCTCTTCCTTTCCCTTTATTTTTTTCTTCTCTACCAAATGATGCACTACTGTGGTTATTTGAGTATTTATGCTTTTCTTACAATCCCAAAAGCCTAATCTCTCACAGGATTCAAGTACAAAATTGAGTGGTACCCAAAAGAAACATGCTAATGGAAGTGGTAGCAGACAACTGTCAATTGGCAGGGTTCCATCCAAGGGACCAACAAAGCAGAGGTTACATCCAGGAATGCTTTCTACTCAGGATCGGGCGACTGCTCATTATGGTGCTGTGACAGGGTTAAAGGCAACCGAGGAGGGCATGTATCTACTGAGTGCAGGTGGTTCATTAGTTATTTGATTATAAATTTATAGGAATTATCCATGTAATAATCATATGACATGCGACTCCATATTAAACTTGTTTCTCATAATTTGTCAAAATTTTGTTCATATCTGATTTTTTTTTTCTCTTTCCTTATTGTTGTGCTGCTGCATGACAGGGTCTGATTCAAGATTAAGGTTGTGGGATGTTCAATCTGGCTGCGACACACTAGTGAACTTTGAAACAGTCCGTTTGCAAATAAACAAACCTCTTCAATTAGCCACCACTCAAGATTCAACCCTCGTTTTTGTTCCATGCATGAGAGCTGTGAAAGTATGCCTCTCCTTTGTGTTTATTAGATATAAAAATGCAATGAGTAACACTAATCATTGTTTTGAATTATTCAGGCATTTGACATGTGGTCTGGGAAAACGTACACAATATTACGGGGCCACTATGAATGTGTAAACTCTTGCTGGTTTAATGAACAAGATCAGGTGTGTTAATGTTCAATATGTGGCTATCCATATTCTTTCCCTGTTATTTTTTAATCATTGATTCATCAACTTCTGGTGTCGTTAGTGAAATCTGTTATGCTAGTTAGGTCAACATGTTATGCAGAACTGAATACACGCTTTTTTTTTTTTTTTAGTCCGATCAACATGTTTACTTTCCAATTAAACTAAGTATAGACATTTGTGTTTTTGTTTGGGTAGAGGCCAAAATGTTTAGTTTCCAATTAAATTCTTTTTCAATTGAATTCATTGAAACATATTCTTAGTTCATTAGTCATATCCTGTCCCTGCACACAGACACACTTCTAATCTTCTATCATCAACTGGTCCGGAATATGGTTCCCTTACACATTTCACCTCTTTTTTTCCTTTTCATTTTATCTTCTAAACGTCGCACTTGTATCGAAAAGGTAAAAAAAACGAAAGAGATGTGGTACACGGTGGATGTAAATTGTGTATATATGTACTGTAATACTCAGTCCATTAACAAATCTATGTTCGTGTTTGAAGATGAATTAAAGATAAAGGTGAAGGGTGAAAAGGACACCATTTACAAGACATAAATAAACTAGAAGCCAACTAACTGGTTACACTGTCCGGACTGCAGTCAGTGTTCGGTTGTCAAAAAATTGCATAAATCCCGAGCGGAAAATATTTATTAATTTCTTCTAGTTTGTACTATTTATTTCAGGAAAAGAATGAACCCTTGAAACAGCAATGCTCTCATATATTAATTAGTACATCCAAATATAGCCCAAACTCCCATGTACTTCTTAACGACTTTTCTTCTTGTCACAGGAACTATACACTGGTGGAAATGATAGACAAATTCTTGTCTGGTCACCTGCTAGATCAATCGCTGATGAAATGGTACACACTTTGAATCCATGTTGTTTATGTTGTGATTATCATGCATATATGCGAAGCGAGAAAAGTTTCACGCTGTCGTTGTCTGACCTCATTGAATTAAACTCCAGGGCGAAGGACCTACTGAGGATCAGGATAACTGGAGTAGCTGAGTCTTGCCTCCGCTGGTGTCACAGCTTTCACTTGTTCATCTTCTTCAGCCATTTCAGGTAGATGTTCGTGGGATTTGTACATGTAGGCTTCTTCTGGTTTTGTGAAACGCTTTAAAGCACAAAACTGTATACTAGTAGCCATTATTTGTGTAGTATAGAACTTTTTTTTTGTTTCATTTTATAATTTGGTCAGTGTAAATTTTGAATTGACTATTGTTGTAAGTTGCAGCATAAACACATTTTCATAATGTTTTTGCTAATAAAAAGTTGTGTACATACGCGTGGACTCAAACCTTTATGTTGTTGCAGCTATTAGTAACTTACTAGAAGAAAAAAAATGGTTCATCAATTAAGGACTTCAATAAGCATATGATTATTATAGTTTAATCATATATCTGATAGTTTTATGTAGATATATCTTATATATATATATATATATATATATATATATATATATATATATATACGAATACCTTCTTCTTTTTTCAACTGATTACATTGTATCATAATTTTTTTTTCTTTTTTTATGTGTAAATTGACATTTTAGGTGTCTATAAAATAGTTTCTTGTAATTTGGACTCTCCCTACAAGAAAGAAAGGATGGTCCCTGGAGGAGAATTAAGGCAATTTGGTTAACAATCACTACTTTTCACGTACTCTGTAACAATAATTATCCTATCAATTGGTAAAAAACTTTCAAAACCTTTCATTTACCGTCTAAACTTTCAAAACCTTTCATTTACCGTCTAAACTTTCAAAACTTTTCATTTACCGTCTAAATTTATTGTATTGCATCATTGTATATCATTATTGATTTTATTGTAATAGAATTTTTTTTAATAAAATTAAAAAAAATATTTTCTCTCATTTTTTTAAATTGCTTAATAAAATTATTATAAAAAATTTAATTTAATGTCACATAAAATTTTATTCTAATAAAAATTTATTTAAAATATTTAATTTTTATTTAAACATTCCACTGAACAATGACATATAAGTGTATATAGTACATGTCTAAATCTCTAAAATTATTGATTATTTGGCATGATAACGCCAAATATGAATAACAGATATCAACAGCAATCAACAACGGAGGGAAGGGGTTTTCCCAGGTCATATTTCCCTTAAAAATTGTAATCTTATCAATTAACATTAATATATTATGTATAGTTTTATTGATTAAAAAAATATATTTATTTTAGACTCTCAAAAGTTAAAAAACAAAATATTGGCTCCTCTGACAGCAATGTACTGTGTTCTAGTGGATGAATATATTTTAAAATCTTGTCAGCTCAAACAGTACTCTATCAGTATGGACTTTTGACATTGCCTTATAGCCATAATAACATTGTGAAAAAATTTGCCACTGATATACTGTATATAATAAAGGAAAAAAATACAATGATTTTTTTTATTAATATAACACTAATAAAATCTAAGATTTGTGTGTTTCTTATTATTATTATTATTATATTCAACATAAATTGTAAAATAAATATAGATAAAATTTAGGTATAATAAAATTATGATCTTATTTTTTATTTCTAGTTTTATTTTTTTAATATAATAATTTATCTTAATTATTAAAAATAAATATTTTTATTATTATTGAAATAAGTCAATATAATATATATAATACAGACAATATGGGCTTATAAAATGAACATCCACAACTAAGTGAACATGGGCATTAACGGAAGAAATTCACATAACTACTATCGTGGCACAATAATTGGAAGATGAAGGTCATATTTAAGAGACCAATGGTTTGTGGCACATGATGAGACTCATGTGAAGGTGACATCTTTAGAATGTCAAATGGAGTCTATCATATCATCAAGATGCCACACATTAATTCCTTCTCTTCTACACTCAACTTGCTTTCCTTTTGACTCAGACCTTCAGTTCTCTGCAGGGAACGCTAGCTTCTTAGAACTCAAGGCTAGTTCTTTACAATCTAACAATGACCTTCCGTCTTCCAAGAAAATGCTGGCAGTTGGTCTATGTGGCACCCAGCATGAGCCTCAAAGCGAGTTGGTCTATGCATAAACCCGTCATAAGGTTCCACGAAGGTGTTGTGAATACGCATCTGCCTTTTCCTCTTCCCACGTTCTATAGAACTAGAGCCTTCTCTGCGTAGAACTAGAGCCTTCTCTTGACTCATCAACATCATAGTAACTACTTCTTTTTGTCTTTTCTTGCATACCTCCAGTACGATTCAAAGCTAGTATAAAGTTTGGAGCTAGTATCTTAAAGTTTGGAGGATGATACTTTAACGGTGTTAAGTTTTTTTAATAATAATTTATAAATAAATAAATATATATCCGTGTAAATATATTTATATATTTTGGTATATTTATATTATTATATATTTATATGTTGGACATGAGGATGTGCTTGATGTTGTGTTTATTAAAATATATTTAAAATTAAATAATTATTATATAATTTTAAATATTTAATTTTTTTAATTTAATATTAATTTTTAAAATATATTTTAAATCCGTTGGTAAATGAACAAATAATTACTGACGGATAATTAATTGTTAATTTACCAAAATTATTAATCTACCGATGAATATATCTCGTTGGTAATTACTTGTATTATTTATTGACTAATTTACCGATGGATATATGTTGGTAATTATTTGTTTATTTATGGACGGATTTACTGACATATATATCCGTCGGTATTATTTATTTACCGACGGATTTATCTACGGATATATATATTGGTAAGACCAAATTCCACAACTACTTTAAATCTGTCAGTAATTTCCGTCAGTAATCACTTATTTTACAACGGATACATATTCGCTAGTAAATATAAATATCCCTCGATAATATAATTTTTTTTTGTAGTGATTTCCATGTTAAAAAAAACTGTACAGATTATAAAAAAATTTATGAAAACTGTCGTTGATTATATATATCACCATTTTATTTATTTAAAGTTTTATTTTATATTTATTTATATTAATTAATACAATTATGAAAAAAATGTAGTCTAATTATCAAATCTTACATGGAATAAGTTGTCACAAATCTTCTATGATCCACCTATGCATGTACTTTTTACTTTAAAGCAATTATGTGTTGATAGTAGCATAATATTTAACTTAAAAGGAGAATAACTTTAAGCAATTATGTGTTAATAGTAAATCAGCCACATCCAATATGGAAGTCTTTGAAATAGCATATTCAAATACACTCCCAAGATTACTCACCAATTCCTTGTCTATAATTATAAATAATAATCATCATTAAGTGTCCATTTCTCTATATTATAAAATATATCAATTATAGTTTAATAATTTTAATTAAAATACATTATTAGCTTTAACTTTTTTCCAACATTACAAAATTCGTACAATCATTATTCATAATATATATATATATATATATATATATATATATATATATATATATATAAAGTAACAGTAATTATTTACACAATACTACTATAATATTTTCACAATATAAATAATCTTAATTAACAAATAATAATAATAATAATAACAATAATAATAATAATAATAATAATAATAATAGTTTTTTTACAATATCTGTCTAATAACTATTTATATTATCACATGAATATTTTCAAAAAGAAATATATAATTTCTATTGTGTAGAAATAATATTTTAAAATCTTGATTATCAATCTCATTGTCTATTTTTATTTTTAACTTCATTTAAACTCAATTATGACATTATTTAATAAAAAATTAAATTTTGTAAAAAATATATTAAAGAATATTTATTATTAGAATAATTTATTCTAAAATTATTTTTTATTAATATAGATATAAATGTTTAAATATTGATGAATTTTGATGATAATGATAATAATCATAATCATAATAATAATAATAATAATAATAATAATAATAATAATAATAATAATTTATTATCTTAGAATTCTATTTTTATAAGGTATATTTTTTATAATCTATTTAACATTATAAAATATAAATATCACTTGTTATTGTTATAAAGTAGTTTTTCTACATTATTTTATTTTATTTTATTTTTAAATGATTTATTATGTTAAAATGAATTTCATAAAATAATTAAGATCAGATATACTAAAATTAAGTAATTTAATCTAATATTTAATGACATTATATTTATTCTAATTTTTCATTATGTTAATATTACTCTAGTAACTATTTATATTATGTTATAATTTAAATTACAATAATCAATTAATAATTTAGTTTTAATTAATTTCATGATTATCCGTTAGTATTATTATTGAAAATAGTTTTAATGAATTAATAGTGTTAGAAAATTATTAAATTAAAATTATTTACTTCAATTAGTTATCCAAAAGTTATCATTGTTAATGGCCATTTTTAAAACATATACAAACTTTATAGTTTAGAAATAATTCTTCTAATTACAGTTTTATATAATTTATTTCATTCATAATTAATTCCATTTAAAATCAATTATGACATTGTTTAATGGAAATTCAAACTTTGAATTAAAAATTATTTATTATTATTTAATTACGACAATAATAATGTTTTCATATTTTGTAAACAAAATTATTCCAGTGAATTATATAGATTTCTACTATCATATCATATTATATATATTTACGATTTTAATAGATGAAAATTTAAGATATAATATATATATATATATATATATATATATATATATATATATATATATATATATTAATATAAGCACGTATTCATTTATTATTTTATATTTATTTTAAATAATGATAAAAAAATTATACAATATAAAAGATGTTATTATTTAATAATATAAATCATAAATTTTAATATAAATTATTTACTATATATATATATAAATAGTAATAATTTGTGTCATTTAAATACTATTAAATATGATTAGGTGTACTTAAATCTTATAATTGTTGCAAATTTAAATGTTTGAAAAATAATAATATAAAAATTATAATTAATATATATATATATATATATATATATATATATATAATATTCTTGGGCTATTTAATAGTTAATAATATAGTTGACGTATAATATATAAAATAAAATAAAATGTATTAATAAAATTTATGAAATTTTATGATTTTTTATCTTTTAGAAATAATATGAAAGTTTAAAATGTAAAACAGTTGCTTATTATCTAGTTTGATATTAGCAAAGGAGTTAGCCTCATTTGAATTCTTAAAATATTTATTTTTATATTATAAAATATTTTTTAATGTCATAGAAATAATAATAAGTTTAAAATGTTAGTATTTTTTTATTGTTGTATTTTCACAAGTTAATTTTCTTTAATTACTTTTGCATATCATTATACAATATATAAGGACGACTCATTGTTATTTATAAAAAGTTTTAGTGTAATTTTTTTTATAAATAATTTTTAATGTAAATATAATTTCATAAGCTTCTATATACAATATAAAATAATATTAATCACCTATTGAGATTAAATCATTTTTTACATAATATTTTATGATAATAATATAATATTTATATGATTTAATATATATATATATATATATATGATTTTTAAAATAAATAATTAAATTAAAATTTGAAGTTATCACACAATTTAGGATAATAATTTCGTCACAAATATTAATTTGTATTAGTTTAAACCGTTGGTTTAGTCCCTTAAACCAAGAAAGTAAATATACTTTTCATTTTGTGATATTTTGGTCACTGTTTCTTTGTGACAGAAAATTGCTCCTCACAAAAGTGTCACTAAATTGAGTTTGTAACGTGTTTTGTGACAGAATGGTTTGTGACGGACATATTCCACCACAAATAATCACCACTAACATATTAAAATAAATTTTGTGATGTGTTTTGTGAAAAAAATAATTATTGATGCCCATTTTTTCTCACAACATTGGTTGCAAAAAATATTTAGTCTATTAATCTCAAACTTAATTTATGCGTTACAAATTTGTCACAGCTTGTGATGGATATACTTCTGCCACAACATCCATCATAAATATAATTATGAGATAAGTATAGTCAAATTAGTTATATTTATAATTATTTTTAAAATTTTAACCTATAATAAAGAGAGAAGAGGAAAAAAAAAAGACACATATATAATATTTAAGCAAACCTAACAAGCTTATAATAAACTCGTTTCTCATATTTAATTAATGATTTCTTTTCGTATTGATTTATATGTTTGTTGCAAAATTTGTGAATAAACATGTTTATTTATTTAGTTTGGAGTTTAAATAAATTAATTCATAATTATTGATTTGTAAAGGGATCTTATCATTATTATAGTTTCTTAGATATATGCGTCCCATTTGATAATTGAAGAGTTTTTGATGGTCATTAACGGGTTTAGCTAGCATCATTATTTTATTTTTATATCATTTTCTGGTTTGAATACGGTGCTTTAATTATTTGAGCATTATACAATTTACATTCTTCTCGAGCTTTCGAAGTATAAATATATAAGATTATTCTAAAAAGTTCATATTAAAAAATAACCCCTTAATAACATAATAATATTAGTCTTACTTATTTTAAAATGTATTAGTTTCTCAAAGAGTTATTTTAGATCATGCTTAGCAAGAGAGAAAGATGTACCACATAAGTAAGGGATACTGCTTCAAATTTGAAGTTGAAATATTTCAATGAGACGAAAAATAATTGTTTAAATAACAGATATTAAGAAAAATTATAAAATTATGTCAATGTTACGTATTTTTATGTTATATTATAAAATGTTGATTGCTTATATATATAATCATAATTTGGAGCAAAGTAGTGTGCCCAAGTTTATTTTTTTCTTGATCTTCACTGTCATGTTTATAATTTGTTGTTTATCTTGTTCTAATCTATTATGATACAAACTATATTGTTTGTTATTACTTTATCATTATTATTACTTCAAATTACTATTATGAAAATTAGAGTGAATGCACGGTTTAATCAATCTAATCGATATAAATATCAGTATAGTTTTTAAATACTCAAAATTTAATAAAATAAGAATAAAATCAGTAAAATCTAGAATTTTTTTTTAAATAGATTATGATAAAAAAACTTAAAATCAAATATATATATATATATATATTTATTTATTTATAAAAAATATAATATATATTTTTAGTTTTTCTTTTTTTTATCTCATATTAGTTATGTCAATTTTAAATAATAATTATTTTATCATATTTTATTTTATTTTAATAATTATTTATTTTATAATTTTTAATATATTTTATATTTATAATATTAATTGTAAGTTAAAATAAACATGATAATAATTTTTATTAGTTTTTTTTCTTTTATAACAAAATGTTATTATTAATAAATTTATTATATATTTGTTATATTATAAAAATATTATTTTATTAAATTTGATTTAAGTAAATAATTATCCAAAATCTCATTTATCATCGTGGAAGATATGATAAAATTTAGTGAGTTCTATATCATAATATATTTTATCTATGAATAATACTATAAAATGAAATTTTAGCTATTGATTAGTCTCGACAATAGATTTGAAAAATATCTGAAATATAGAATTTAAATATTTGTATTTAAATATATATATATATATATATATATATATATATATAATATTCCATTTTAAAAGGTTAAAAAAATATTATATTGTTAAAAGATTAATAAATATTTAAACACTAATACGTGTTTCTTGAGTAATCTAATTTTAAAACATTACTTCAAAATTAATTCCAAACACTAAATTCATGTCTTATTAAATAATCTCATTTTAAAAACATTATTTCAAAAATCACGACCAATATTATCACTTATATCTTTATCTTCATTATTAAAAAATTATTATCTAATAATAATAATTATTAATATTATTATAAAAAATTCTTTTTTATTATCATTATTAATATTATTATCTTTATCTTTTAAAGTCCACTGTTATTTTCGGTGTGGTTGTCATTATCATCACAGATACATATATTATAATCTTACTTTGTCATTATATATACCAAATATTAGATAAGATTAATATTTGTCTTATAATTTTTCTTGTCACATATCTTATCTTAACCACAACGTTAATTCTAATAAATATAATACTTAAATGAGACATTAAAATTGTTAAAATCAACCAACAAATTTATCTTAAAATAAATAAAATGACAAAGTAATATTAAAAATTATCAATCCATTGATCATAATAATTATACAAATTAACTTTGATTTATAAAGATTTCATTAACTTTTATTTTTCTAAATGTTATAAAGATTACATTAACTTTTATTTTTCTAAATGTATGTCTATTCCCGAGGAATGCATATTAGAATATATATAACCAAACTACCTAGATTGCAGATTATTACATAGGAGGTTGTAACCTTATGAATGGCAGATATTGAGAGCACAATATTGCCCTGGTGTTGTGTTTATATTTCGAAGATGGGTGATGATGATGATATTTAGATTATTCCCAAAATACAAAGTCTAAAATGTCATCATCACATTAACATATCAAATTGTCTCTCTTCTCATTCTATCTCTCAAGATGCAGATGTCTAATAATATTTACCTTGGAAGCTATTATGTCAGAGCTGACAAAGATTTGGATAATTGTGAAATTGACATGATTGCTTTAAAGTCAACATTGCAAGGACCTTTTTCGCAAGTATTTCAACAATAAACTGTATATTATATAAAAAACAAACGGACAATTTGAAGTTCAGAAAATTGTCTTATGAAATATAGGAAGACTTTCACGTAACTAGTCTCAATCAATCCTAATAATACACATGCACGTTATAGGTCATATATAAGTTTGTTGCACCAGGTGTTTGTGGCACATGATGGTACCCTCGAAGTTCAGAAAAACATAATCAAGTAGCTGAGACTTATCTGAAAGTTTCATCCTTAAAAAATCAAATGATTTTGTCCAAGTGTCTATCACACTGCACGAGGAAGGCAAAACCAACCTCTCCACCCCCAAGTGAGTTAACAGCTTCTCGATCTCATACATCAAGATGCTACACAATCCTTGTCTTCTACGCTGCATCCTAGTAGCCACAAATGGAATTTCCGCAACCCTCTTGCCAAAAATCCTTACAGTGGCAACAGAAACCACCTCCTTATCCCTCTCCAAAACCACAGTATAAAAGCCGCGAAAGTTCAACCGATCATCGAGTTCTGAACCTCTGCTGAAAATAATATCAGCCATCATATCTCTACCAGAAAAAGCATCAATAACTGGGTCAAAACTCTCACGCAATACATCAAGAGCTACACTCAGCTTGCTTTCGTTTTGACTCAAACCTTCAACTCCATCCAAAGTAAGATCATCTTCTCCACTGCTATCCCTTTTCACCGCCTTCAACAGCGTCCAAGTAAGATTTTCTGCAGCAACATTGATGGTTTTTCCCACAAGCCTCTGCAGACTGAAAAATATCCTCTCACAGTCTCTACTGCAGAGCCAATTCCCATTACCAAAATGGTCTTCCTCGTTTCCCATCTTGGTGTAAGCTGGTACAGGAGCTTTTAAGCATCCAATATGGTATCTACCCTCACACTGATGACAAACTAAAACACTGTTCGCACCCACATTATGAGCACAATCATCTGTGCATCTGGGTCGCTTGCAAATTTTGCAACAACAAACTGGGCAGAACCAATCGCCATCAGGGACATGGGTTAAACCTAAACACTTGAGGTGAAACGAAGAGGGGCATCGATCACACAACACTAGTTCACCACCGTAACGACAAACGGCACAAAAGTTATCATTTTGATATTCACTGTCATCCAGTTCCTCTTCTTTCTCAAAACAACTCCCGTTTTGTTGAGAACCCAGGGCTTGCTTTTGACAATCTAACAATGACCTTCCATCTTCCAAGATAATGCTAGCATTTGGTCTGTGCCTATTGCACCCGGCATGAGCCTCAAAGCGAGTGGGAGAGAATAACATGTCACAGCAATCACAAGCTATGCCACTACACAATAGCTTCCCTTTCTTAACCACGTTATTTGCACCATGGCAGAGTACCACGGAATCTAAACCCACGACACCGTTACTTATCAACCAAGGGATAAGGGTTCCACGATGGTGTTGTGAACACTTAGAACCCTGTGCCTCGCCCTCTTGCCTCATTCTTTTGATTGACCGCAAGACCTTACCTCTTCTACCATTCACAGAGCTAGTGGCATCTCCAAATGACTTATCATCGTCATCATCACTTTGCCTTTTCTTGCAGACCCTGGTTTTCTTTCTGGATTCGCTTGTCTCCTCTTTTGGTTGAGAAGATGTAGGGTATTGGTGATGAAGGATGTTGTTTTCTTTAACATTTTGAGGGTTTTCATTGCAACCTCCCTCTTCTATGCAACCTTTACATGCCCTTGCGAGAGAAATGTAATTTTTGCCGCTGATGGGTGATGTGTAACGCAACTCCCACTTTTCTTTCTTGTCAACATACCAAAATTTCCAACCCAGATAACGAAGATGCTTCTTGGCCTGTAAGGAGAGGTTCCTGCGTAATGTACATTGGCTCCTGCTGTTTGGTAGTGACGTGAGATGGTACCATCGCATAACCGCTTCAGGGCAATATACGGGTTCAACATTTATCGAAGGAGGCTCCGGGGTAGGACCCATAGATCACCACCCTGGAATGGAACCTGGCTTCTAGGGTTCAGGCCGCAACTTCTGTATATACACTCTTTCTCTTTGTATTCATCTTTTTTCAAATACCTTAATTTTGTTTCGATGATTCAGATACCCAAGGGCGAATCTTTTCTTTTGTTTTGTTCTCTTTCGCTGAGTCTTCAAATTTCAAGATTTAGTCCAAATTTCCATTAAGATAGAATATTAGATTTAATTTTAATTTAATATCAATTTTCCTATACGGTAATGTATGGGATTTTTTTTTCGTTTTTATTGCTATTAACTATGATTATCTTACTAATTAATATTGCTATTTACCGCAATTCATGTTAAAATAGTATAAGATTTCAACCAATTCATGTTTACTAATTAATATTTCATTATTCATTTTTGGGTCCAATTGCTTGATATGGTGCACGATTAACATTTACAACCATAAGATTAAAATAGTAACTTTAATAAACATAAGGTTTATTTTAAAATTCAAATGAAATTAATTATCAAATTCGACATTTATTGTATAATTATAAAAATTTCTTTATTCAAGTATATTCATCTTCCATATCTGAATAAAAAGGAAAGGATTATATCTCAAAAGCTATTTTAATCCCAAATCAGCATACTTTTTAAGATTATTTTGTTTCTTTAATTATAGGTAAACAATCAAGGAAAAAATTATATAATTATTTTTATAAATAAATTTTTATTTTGTTTTATACCCAATTTCAACATATTTTTAGTAATTACTAAAATTTCATTATTCAATTATTTTCATAATCAAATAATAATTATTCCAATGTTAGTATCTCATTCTATTCATTTTGTTTATAAAAAAGAAAACTTGAAAGAAGAAAAATTATTTTGGTCATATTCGACGAATGTGATTAAAAAGTTTAATAATGCTAATTGTTTGAATTTTTTAGTATTGAAGATTGTACAGAAAAAAAAAGTTATAAAGGAAGAACACGCCGAAGCGCAAGAGGTGGGGAGAAGGGGCAGAAAAGGGAGATGTAGTGGGATAACCATTTGTGTATTATTATTTTGTGAACTTTTTAAAATTCTTTGGATTGATATTTTTGAAAGCTTTGTAAAAGTGTTTTCGAATTAGTTTTCTGGAAAAAAAAACTTACATAGAAAGTTTTTGGAATGAGTTTTTTAGAAATTTTATGAAATGAATTTTTTTGGAAAACATTTCTTAACGAGTTTTTTTAGAAATATTTCGGATTGATCTTCTCAAAAGTTTTTTAAATTGACTTTTTGAAAACTTATAGAATCAGTTTTTTCATAATATTTTTTTAGAAAGCTGATTCCAAAATGTTTTTGAAATTTTTTTTAGAAAGATCAATCTAGAATATTTTTAAAAATTTATTTTATTTTTTAAAAATATATTTTCAAAATTATATGAAAACTATTTATATTAAGAATAATATTATTTTAAATGAGTTTTTTTTTATTAAACAGAGACAATTTTTTTAAATAAATAAATTTTTAAAATTACTAATTTAAGTAAATCGTGTTATAAAATATGACTCTAGATAAATAAGTCTTATTTTATAATACGATTTAGATTTTTTAAAATAAAAAATATAAATTGTTGTTCGTTTCGCAAGTGTATACACCAATATTATCAATCATAGTATTTCAATTAAATAAAAGTCGATATTACGAGAAACGATTTTACTTGAAACATCCAAATCATATGCTTATTATGTGTATTGACACAAAATTAATTTTTCATAAATATTTAGGTTGAAAATAAGTTGTAAAGAGCTATAAAATATATTTTAAAAAGATAAACTATAAGAACTTATGATTGACTTAATTCTGTTTTTCTCATTTGTAGAATGACTAGGTCAAATTAATAACATCAATTAATCTATCAATGTTGATGCAACCTACTTAAATCATTCACATTGATTCCTCAAACATAAAATTCATAAGAAAACCTTGTAAATATAGATTTTTCATATATTTAATAGATTTTCAACATTAGGTTTAGGGTATTAAGCACTTAATACATTCATTATCATTCCTAGCAATCAATGTAGCAAATATTCTTAAACTAATTAGAGGTTTCAAGATATATTTTCCAATATATATGAACATCAAGGATAAAAGTAATAAAAGACACAAAGGATAAGAATAACAAAAATATAGATTAATATCTCAAAATATCACCAAGATACAAAAGAGTTTAAAATAAATGCACATAATCCTAACAAAAATGAAGTTAGTCACTCATGATGGTCATTACAATGATCCAAATGAAGAAGAATTAAAGAAGAATTGAAGATTGGACGAAAACTGGAGCAGTTGGCGCATTTCTCTTCTCAAAACCTAAGCGGAACATTTGCTCAAACAAAAAATGATGATTTTCGTTCAAGCGAGAAATGTTCGCTTGAGCGGTTGAATTCCAGAGAGCTTTAACGTATTTTCAGCTCAGCGAATAAATGTTCGCTTGAGCAAGTAACTTTCGGAGAGCTTGTAACTTTCGGAGAGCTTTAACGTATTTCGCTCAAGCGACCATTTATCTCACTTGGGCGAATATCGATCGAAAATCTTCTTCCTTTTCTTCAATTATCTTGAGAATTATTATCATTGCTCTTGTACCAAGGTATTTTGCAAATTCATCCTACATTGAAACAAAAATATATTAAAATCAACATAAATGATTAAATAACAATTAAAAGTATAATTATATCAACTTTTACCACTTAACATAAATTTATATAGAAGTGGTATAAATTCTAATTTTATATTATAATAATAATTATAATTAATAATAATATATTTATATTATTAATAATAAAGTAAATAATAATAATAATAATTTATATTATTATTAAAATTGTTATTTACTTTATTATTTAAATTAATATTATATTAATAATATAAAAATAATATTATTAAAAGTAATGCAATTATAATAATTAATATTATTTCAATTGTATAACTAATAATAAAATAAATTAACAATTATAATTATATAAAATAAAAATAATATTAAAAATAAAATAATTATTTTAATAATTATAATTATATTACTTATTTATATATTTATTATTATTATTATTATGATTTAATAAAAATATAATTTTATTAATAATTATTTATTATTCATATTAATTTTATATTATTATTATTAAAATAATAATAATAATAATAAACTTATATTTATTAATATAATTATCTTATTATTAATAATATAACTTATTCGTTTAAAAAAAAACATAAATTGTGTTTTAAAGTATGATTTTTTTTCATGTAGAATCGTATTTATAGATACGAATTTTAAAAGAAATTTGGTTACTTGTAGAAAAGAAAGTGTCTTCATTTAATACAAACTCTTGTGATATCTTCATTGTGTGAAAGTTCATTTGATGGGAAAAGAAATATATTTAATTATCATAAAAAAGTTAATTGATATCAATTAGTTAAATTTATAAACAAATTATATATATATATATATATATATATATTGTAAATTAAATTTAGCTAATATTAATCACTTTTAGAATTAATAGCGCGTGAACTGTTAGAGTTTTTAATTTTTGCAACTTGTACCCGAGTAGGGTAACTCTTCTCACCAATTAATTCTTAATTATCATGCTTATAATTTTAAAGAGAGTTGCTTACCCTTTTTTTATTATTTGAATATAAAAGAGTTTATAATTAAAATAATTTTATATTAAAATATATTTAACTAAATTTAATTTGTATCGCAATAATTTAACTATTAGTATGTTATTATGTAAAATAATTGCTATTAATAATTATTCATTTATATATTCGTAAAAAAATTAATTATGTTTTTATTGAACGTGTTACTAAATTCATGATTAATAATAAATCTTGATGAATATTTATGATGTGATTTTATTATCTGTTATGCATATTTTGTAATATCAAGTATTTTCCAAAAATATTTCATTAATATAATAAAATATTTTGTCATTAACTTTAATAAAATGGTATTATGAGTTATTTTAAGACTTGATAATTTTTAAAGACATTAATAAATAATATATATTATGAAATTTGTAATAGAGTGAAATAGATAAATTTAGAATTGAGTTTAAAATCGGTGACGGATCTTGACCATTGATATTGGGGGGTCAAATAATATATTATTAATAAATAATAAATAAATATAAAAGAAAGAAAAAAGATGAAAGGGTAAAAGGATAAAATTGTAAATATATACTTAAATATATTAAATAATCATTAAGTTAGAGAGAGACAAAATCATAAATTATATGAGAGTTACAAAACCGAGGAGGAGGTGAGAGGATAAAATTGTAAATATACAAGTAAATATATTAAATGTTAATTAAGTTTGGGAGGGCCAAAATCATAAATTACATGGGAGTTACAAAACTTTGGAGGGGGGCACGACCCCCCTCAACTCCCAAGAAGATTCGCCATTGTTTAAAATGAAGTAATAATAATAATAAGAGTAATATCATTAAGAAAAATTAGTAATATAATTTCCCAATGATGAAAGGATTTAATTGGTAAGTGCAAAAATAAGTGAGGGTAATTTTGAAAAGGAAGTCAAATTTAAATAAGAGAAAGACTAATTTTCTTTCTCACTTACTGAAGCATTTTTGGGAGCACGGGAGGAAGAAGAGAAGCTTGATTTTGCTTGCTCACACCATCTTGGTTCATCCTTTTTGCAATTAAGAGTAAGATTCATGAAATTAAAGCATAGAATTTCAACATTATCTCCTAAAATCTTCTTAATCTCAAGAATATGGTTATTTTGATGCTTATAGGAGACAAACCCTTTCTTGAACTAAGTATCTCCATTTTCTTGTTTGAAAGCTTCATTTGAGGTAAGTGGAGTCTTCTTGTCATCAACCCTAAGCTAAATCACCATTTATCTCACCTCTACATGAATTAGAACTAAATTAGAATATTTAATAAAAATTTCGTATGACTGTTCTAGTATATTTGGATACTCTACAATGCTCCTTTCATATTTTAGAGTT